TAGACTGGCATAAATGTAGTTAACGTTGATGAAATATGTTCCTTCAGGATATTGTCAACTCCAGGGGATTTACCTTTTTTATTTTTGTTACAGCTTCTAGTATTTCATTTTCACTAATAACAGAATTCAAAAACTCGTCGGATATGACATGGGTTGCATTTGTGACGGATGGTGCATTATTACTATATGTATAGTTCTCTTCATTATCGCTTTCATTGATATTTTTCAAGAAATCATACATATCATTTATATCAACAGAACACTTTTTTTCTTTATCAGAGGTATTTAAAATTTTCCAATACTCTTTCGAATTTGATGAACGTAAATTTTCAAGTTTTTGTGATAGATCATTTCTGTATTTTTGTATGCATTTGTCCATTGTTTTTTTTATATTCTTTACTCATTAAGACAAGTTTAGTTTTATTCTCTGTTGAATTATATCTATTTTGTATTCTTTTTGCTAGATGACATTTTTTCCTAGCCGTTTTGCAGTCTTTGTTAAACCATGGTTTATTACGCTTAATATTGTCTGGTGTTATATTTTTATGGAATCCAAATGTTTCCTGTGCCGCATTGGTAAAAACAGTACTTATATCTTTTGCAATTTTAAAAATGTCAGATTCGTTGACTGTGTCAATGTGGAGGGATAATTCATTCAGAGAATTTTCAATAGCTTTTACGCTTGAAAGGGCAATATTACTACAAAACTGACCGGCTTTGTCTGGACACCACAACTTCACACTCGACTGGTTTACACTTATGCACGTATTTTCTGATCGAGTCTTGAGACTAGAGATTGTACAAGATATTGGCCTATGAACATCCGATAATAGATTGCAAAAATCATGTATATCAAAATTTTGTATAAATACTAGCCAGAACATAATCAGCTGTACTACAATTTTTACATGTAACTGCACCAATGTTTTTATCATTACCTAAACGGCCATTAGCTATAAAAATATCATTGTTCTTGCAAAAATCTACTAATTTATAGCCAAAATTATTAACACTCGTGTCTTGAACTATTCTCTGTAAGGGTATTGAAAGTTTTTCAAAAATGGTAGATCGTGCTTCAGTTTCACAGTGGGAAAAATCATTGCATACATTTATATTTGTCAAAAAATTATCAGGAGTAAAATAATCAGATAAATGAGCAGTTCTTGCATTAAAATCACCCATTAAACACACATACTTATTATCATTCACTAAACTGATTAACTCTTGTTCGACTTCTAAAAAACAGTCAGGGGAGGTGTATTTACTAATTTTGGGCGGTATGTAAACAATACCACACAGTACATCTTCATTGGTACTGAATAACACTTTGTCTACTTTAAACCATAAAACATATTTACAGTCAGTGTTTATGACTTTGACATGCTTAACAATATTATCCTTAACTGCTAAAATAATACCCCTAGGTCGAATATTCGTAAGTTTTTTTCTGTTTTTCATAAAAGTTACATAGCCAGGTATTTAAATTTGATCAGAATCGTCGGTTTTTGATTCAGTAAGTCCTATTACATCATATTTTTTTATGAACTCTGTATATTCATTATAGAGTAACTTATTTTTAACACCACAAACATTTAAAGAAAGTATTTTCAAATTATTACATTACTCTTATTTACATTGCTGTTACGGAGCTGCATAGACCAATCGATCATATAGCTTTAACTGGTTCAAGTCAATTATTTAAGAAACCCCGAGAAAGCAGTTGGTACAAAAATGGAGTAGCATTTTCGATAGCTCACCTAAATGTATTAATTATAGGATTTCTAAAATAAACTTTGGTCTTGATCATTATCTTTTGAGTTTAACTTAAGATTAAGAATTATACTTACAAAATTACGAACGTGTAATCATCGTCTTAAAATTCCAACTGAAACAGGTAGGTGGAATAAAATTTAAGAACATGTACAATGTGTAATTGTAACAGTATTGGTAATGAACTTCATTATATTAAGGAATTAAAGTAATTCTCGAACGACAGAAAAATATGTCTCCAAAATAGATATTGTAAAATTCTCACATTTTTAAGTTTTATAAACTAATGAACACAATGTAGAAATAAAAAGATTGTAAATTTTATCTTAAAATTTCAAAATTATCTGCTCTTCCTTAACCCTCTATAACTGATCGCATGTTTATATGTTTTCTTTTTGGTAGGTCACCTGAGTTACTCAGGTGACCTATTGCTATCTGTTTTCGTCCGTCATCGTGCGTCGTCAATTGTCCGTCGTGCATTAACATTTGAACATTTTTAGCTTCTTCTCTGAAACCGTTAGGCTAATTTCAGCTAATAGCTTATTGCATATATGGATGAAGTGAAACAAAATTTCTAAATTTAAATATAAATCAAAATATCCCCGCACCCCCTCCCCCCTGGGGCCTGATGGATGGGGCTTACATCATCAAAATTGATGGCCCCAGGGTCATGGGTCTCTGGTGTAAGGGTGGAACTCTATTGATTATATAGTGAAAAATATATAAATTCTTTTTAAGTCTTAGTGTTAATGAACAAGAGTATTTTTCTAAATTTGTGAAATTCTTGACCACTGGGTTATGTATTCTGGTGCTGAACATGATATGTAAGCGTATTAATGCCAAGTAAGTTTTTTTTTTAAAAGTTGGTAATTCCAACTTTAAAGCTGGCTTTTCAAACTTTAATCCTGGCCTTTGGTAAATCCAACTTTAATCTTGGCTTTTCAAACTTTTTAGTTGGTAATTCCAACTTTAAAGTTTTAATTCCAACTTAAATCTTAGCTTTTCCAACTTTAAACTTCGAATTACCAACTTTAAATCTGGCAATACCAACTTTAAAGGTAGCTTTTCCAACTTTTATTTGAGCTTTTCTAACCTTTTCTATAGTTTATACTTAATACACTGGAACAAATTGGTGAGTAATTTAACTGTGTCAATTATTTTTTACCTTCACCTTCCATATGACATATAACTTTCAACTTTAAAAGCCCTTATATTTCTCTTGATCCAACATGTAATTTTATAGAGGATATAGTAACTTCAAGCAACGCTGTAAATAAGAGCATTTCGACCATACCTTCATGAATTTATAAAGGTACTTAAATAAATTTGTTAAGAATGAGTTTAAACAAATGAGACCACATTAGGTTTTAGATTTTTAGGATGAATCAACACTATTTTTCATGCTAAAAAGACAACTGTACAAAATGTATCAATTCTGTAGATGAAAACCCAATGAAAAGTATTCCTTCTTTCATTAATTATATAAATAATTTGTTTATTTCCATTGTTATTATAAACAGAACATGACTCCAATTAACTATAAAACGCATGAAGCTAGAAAAAGTTTCGAAACGCCAACTTTAAAATTGGAAAGTTGGAATTATCAACTTTAAAGTTGAAATAACCAACTTCAAAGTTGAAAAAACAACTTTTAAGTTGGAATTATCAACTTGAATACTGGAAATATCAGCTATAAAGTTTGAAAAGCCAAGATTAAAGCTTGAAAAGCCAACTTTAAAGTTTGAAAAGCCAACTTTTATGTCGGAAAAGCCAACTTTAAAGTTGGAATTTCCAACTTTAAAAAAACATTACGTGGCATTAATACACTTAAGTAACATGTACCTCTTGTACCAGTAAACTGATTTAAAGTGGATAAGGAATTGAGTGTAAATACCATATGTCATGTTCTTTTTTAATCAGAGAGGGGGACAAGAAATGGCGATATTAGTAAGAATTTAGGGGGGAACAAAAAAGCTTAGGAGATAAAAATACACACTGCACTGATTTATACCATTGTAATTGTAATAGCCTGGACTCAATGTTTTATGAAAATAGATGGATGTGAGTGAAATAGAATTTACGAAAGACGTGGTTTTCAACGGTTTAGAAGAAATACTTGGATGGATCATACAGTTATATTTGTGCATTATAAAGACATATTTAAAAAATACAAAAACCAAATTTCGACTCAATAAATATATAAATCTGTGGAACATATACTTTAAGCAATTTGTATGTAAAATTTGCCATATATGACACAAATGCAAAATTAAGTAAATTAGTAAAAATTACAAAAAACGTGAAATATTTGCGGTTGCCATCGATGTAAACTTATTTGATCAAATGCAAAATTTTACCAGTAGCATTTAAAAGACCCATCAAAGCCTTTACTTAGTTTCAACTTTCATGCATACGAATGAAAAAAATGATTTTATAATTTAAAAAAAAATGTCATCTGGACCAATTCTTTCAAATAAACGAATAATTTATGTACTTATTATCTTATGAAAGTTCAGTGAAGTTAGACTTTTGGGAGGCATTTACTTTATATTGGGTTATTTAAATTGTAAATGTTTTTTTTTTAATCACGAAACTCCTATAGATGAATCTAGACAGAAAAAAAAACATTTCACAGCACTAACTTCATTACAAGAACCTTTTAAGTTACCAAGAAGTAAGTGTATTTACTGCGGTTGCTCTTATAAATATGTACCAACATCATTCGTTAAACATTGTTAGTTTTTAAATGAGAAATCAAAACGGAAACTGTGCAATTCTGCACTGTTTTTCAATGATATAATACTTTACACTTTATTTCCTCCATTACCTGAACAGACAGCATTCTGATGTGCCTAATTACATAATTACGTTACCTGTGTTTTTCTTTGAATATAATTGAAAAATATAACGAACATATTTTCTTCAAATTAAGTGTAAAATAAAAAAAACTTTGCAATATTTACTGTGGTTATTTTTTACCTGACAAGTGTATTCCATTTTTTTTACTTGTTCACACGATTGTCAGCTGTGTGTGTGTCAACTGTTTTCAAAACTGTGTTGCGCCAACCAACATTACAATTGCATAACGGAATCCGGTTTGAAGAGCACTGTCATCCCTCCATACTTAATATATGAGAGCATTGTTCCATATCAGAAAGGCTGAAGGTTGCCTATGAAGTCAACGAGATCGGTGGTGCTCTAGCGTTTAAATGATATTCTTAAACTAAAGAATGAAGATGATGTTCATCGTCTTTTTTCCTCTGTTGATTTCTAATGCAATAGGTAAGATATTTATAATAAAATTTTAAAATACTGATCTAAAAATTAAAATTCTATATGATGTTTGCTTGTCTCTTACTGAAAACAGTTATGATTTCTTTCAGAGCGAGTTACAGGAATATCCACTTCCTAATTTTATTGAACATTTCTGTCAGTTTATAAAATGAAATAGGTGAAGATAACGAACGGTGACTGATCTAAAAATAAAAATAAAACAATACTAATATGTGAACAGGGCATAAAGTACGGAGTACTGGAAATTCCAGAGGTGGAATTAGGTGCCTAGAAGAAGAAAGCGATCGGTTATGCCCGCCACAAGCTCTATGTATTGATCAGGTGGACGGAATAATCTGTGGTCAAATTTAGCATAAAAAATAAAGGCCTGACAATTAGTATGAAATATAAAATGTACTATTGTTTTTTATGATGTGCATGTAACGTATGTAATAATGAATGACACATAAAATTGCATGATTGTTTTATGCAGCGTACGAGAATTGCTACCGTACAGATCTTGGACGAGGATACAATGGGAAAATTAACATCACTATATCAAGAAAAACATGTCAGAAATGGGGATCTCACACTCCCCATCCTCATAACCTAACCTGGTTATGGACGGAGGAAAACTACTGTAGAAATCCAGACGGCAAACCAAATGGTCCATGGTGTTTTACAATGGATTCTAGCACAGTATGGGAAAGTTGTGGAATACCCCGATGCAGTAAGTTTTGGCACAAAAAAGTTGAAATGTTCAAAACATAAGTTTCTGTATGTAAAGGATATAAGACAGAGGTGGTCATTATGTCAGAGACGGGAACGGCTGTTCAAAGCGTGTATCCGCTTTACTATCTGTTAAGACAGACCATCTGAATATTTTACTCTTGACTCATTTTTACTCTAATGTTAACAATTTTGAATATTCGAAAGTATATCAATCATGTTACTGTGAGTGAAAAATCGTAAAACAGCATTCGTCCTTTTCAAAACCCGAACACTATAGAATTAGAATGGGATAGATAAATAATAACATGACCTAACATTGTAACCATACACAAGAATTCGATGAGTTCTTCTGTACTCATGAAAAAATCAAGCATATATCATGTTGTAAAGACGAGGACATAGGAATCTGGGCGCACTTGAAAATTGAAAATTTTATTGATCCGTAATACGATATTTTGGTATTCTGTTGATGTACATGTATTCCAATGATTAGGAAAGGGACATATTTTCTTCATACATGTATTATGTTTTGATAGGTTAAAATATGACTTGAAATATGGCTAGGTGCGTCATTTGGTACAAAATGTTACAATTCTAGGCATTTTTTCTATAAATTTGCCATCTCTGGTTCGTCTCGCCACGATTTTTAAACATTATTTGTGTGTATTTTAATTCAAAGAAACGAGCAAACATTTGCAAACGAGAGACCCATGGTCCCCAACGCTCACCTGAGTAACTAACTATATATTCCTCTTTAAAACTTTGATTTCCTATTGTAGTTCCACCCTACCCATATGGGTCATGATTTAAACAAAATTTAATCTACACTACGTTCAGGATGCTTCAATGTCAATATGACTTATGCTTTTGTCCTTAGAAAGATTTTTAAAGATTTTTTTCGTATATAATCTATATATATAATATAATGTAATATATAAATAATTCTATGTAAAACTGTAATTGTCAATTGTGTCCCCACCCTACCCCCGGAGTCATGATTTGAATAAACGTGAATCTACACTACCTGGGGCTATTTCCATATCAATATATGACTTATTAGGCCTTTGCTGTTCTTGAGAGGAAGACTTTTAAAGATTTTTTTCCCTATAGATTCCTGTGGATAACTTTGATTCTCTATTTTGGCACCAACTTACCCCCGGGGCCATTGTTTGAATAAATTTGAATCAACCCTACGTCAGAAAGCTTTCACATAAATTTCATCGTTTTCTGGTCCAGTGTTTCTTGGTAAGAAGATTTTTATATAAATCCACCCTATATTTGCCGTTTCATCTCCTCATGGGCGTGACCCTTCACTTGAACAAACTTGAACGTAACCCCCTTCATTCAAGCTTACGCACTTGGATTTGTTCAAATGATTGTGTAAATTCGCTGTCTCTCGTTTTTAACTCCATGTATACTTGTCTTGCGTAAATTTAAATCCAACCATTGATCTTAAACAAGCCAGGGTTCAAAACTCAGTGGTATGCCTTTCCTTTCCATGGTAGTGATGAATCGATAGGTTTTATTGAAATTTTTTAATCAATCAAGTAATCATGTCCATTATCAGTTTGATATTGCATGCTGATTTGATAACAAATATCAAAATAAGGTTAAATTTTGGTTTTGTTGCAAAGCATTTAACTATGCCTATTTATTTTATAGCTGTTTATTAATTATGTGAAGTGTTGCTATGATACCATTAACTATTAAGAAAGCAGAGTTAAATATTACAATTTTTAACAATTAAGGTATTTCGATGTAATTTAACAATTTCCTATGTGCGTAACTTTGTAAGTCTGTCCAGCTATGGTCAGACAAAATTGTCTGTTTGATCTGACATTTTAAGTATGAAGGATTCGCACACACAGTTCCTGCAGATTACATGCCAACTTTGCCTATCTTCTTTTGAATTTACATGATAAAGGTAATGCAAACTTTACAAGACTATTTTACTTGCATGTTGTTAATTTGCATTAATCTCCATCCAGTAAGTTTAGAACATGATATATGGCTAGTAATTGTTGTTTACATAGCTGCATTTGAGGCAATATTTCATTTATATTTTGCATATAGTGGCAGCAAAATTGCAGAAAATCTTATTTAATCATTATTATATCAATGGATTCAAGTACCACATTCAAAATAGAGATCTGATGCATCTTTCTGAAATGTTGATAGTCTAAAGAACAAGGTTCGACAAAAGAAAATGAAACGTTAAATGTCAGTTATAACAAAATGTTCTTTATAATGTTGATTAGAATTAATGTATATTATACTTTCATGTAAATTAGTTGAATCTGATTTGTCGAGGAACATTTGTTAAAAAACACTATTACCCTTTGAATGATGAAAGCACCCCTATAGCGTGAAAGAATGTAGAAACAGTCAACATTGCTTGACAAAGAGTGATATTTCAAAAAAAAAAAAATATCGGTTAACTGAAATATGTATTAGTATGAAACATTCAGTATATCTATAATAAATATTTGCATGATTTTGAGTGTAACATTGTAAAATTTTTACCCCTTTAAAACCATTGTTATGTCGGCTGCGATTCTGTTGACAATGGTTTTCTTAGGGTGAAAAATTTCAATGTTTATTACACTTACCTACATGCAATATTTATATAATATTTCATATAAAATCTTCATAATCTGCCACAATATCATAAATGTTGACATTATTCATGTCTGAAATAGCACGCACACACCAGAGAGGAAAAATTGAGAAAGTATGCGAAAAATATAGATTCCTCGATTAAAAACGAATTAGGAGCAATTAATATACTTTAAAATGCACATTTATGACTTTCCTAGAAATAATTTGAAGTCCATTTATTCAAGGGACATATTACAAGCAAAATTTAAATGTTAATAGCTGTTATGAGTTAATGAATGCCTAATTTAGAATTCTATTTGATTTTTTTTTTAAAAACAATATTAAGACCTAATGCTAAATGTTTAATTCTGACATGATGTATGATAGAAAATATAACCTTTTGCGGATGTTCATATTAATATTTTCATTGCATTTATAATTTAAGATTACTCGTTATTTGCATTTATTGATTTTAAAACTATAAACCAAAAGGAAACATTAAAATTGTAAAGTGAAACTATGACAAATATAAATCTCTCGAATGAAGCATGTTAGTGGACCAATTCCTAAACTTGTCCAGGGTTTACGGAAGGACAATTTGTTAATTTCAATGCTTTTTTAAAAAAAGTTCTTACATGATTTCAATTCTATTCATCATTTGAGAATTTCGTATACATATGTGGATTTTGTCATACCAACCAGGAGTGTAGGATTTCTCTCTCTCTCTCTCTATTTATATATATATATATATATATATATATATATATATATATATATATATATATATATATATATATATATATATATATATATACATCCTCAGTAACATTGACTCATACTAGCATCTGCGTCAGACAATATTTTATGAGTATTACTCAAGTAACAGTAGTACATGTATACTGCAAAGGATATGGACTCGATATTAAGCTACTTTGTTCTTCACAGTATCCTTTTTTGTGTAACTTACCAGCTCTCCATTTTTTATCCTGGTTTTCTTTCAGTGCATTTTGTTATTTTTTCCAAATCCATCATCTTTCTATGACAATTTCTATTTTAAGTTGCAAATGATATTCAGTGTAAATTTTTTTGCGAAAGGGCATAAAATAGAGATGATAAATAACATGGTCATAACATTATGACCTTTACGTTAATATGGTTCGTTGATTTTCTTTGTCATACCTTGTACTAATTATTTTGAACAATGTGATTTTCTCTTACTGTAGTTTTAATAAACCTACTTAATTACTATCTATGCTCTTAAATTCTCTTTGTCCTTATTCTTGCTACATGGCAGACAATATACACATTGTACATGTGCACTTTATTGAAGACTTCCTTAGAACACCCAAGCGTTGTGTCAAATATTAAAAATTGAAAGTAAAAGAATTAAAATGTTCATAAAAGAATTACAGAGACCGCAAATCAGTGTGAAAAAGTTAAAGAGGTTACCATGACACATGTAAAGATATAAGCAAAAATAAGAATGCACAAGCCTTCATCAAACTTATGCCCAACCTAAATCCAACCATTGATCTAAAACAAGCCAGGGTTCAAAACTATTTATACGGTTGCGTTAGTAATATTGCAGAGGTAATATGGCAAACAAAGGATGACTGCACTTAAGGACATGCGAAAATTGCGACAAAATAAACTTTCAAAACAAGCATTTTTTTTAATTGCAGGAATGGTCAACATCTAATCTACAACTTTACGTAATTATATTAAATAAAAGTATGTATTTACGAAGAACGAATGTCATAAATTTTTCTTGAATCTCCGTACTATAATGAGGACGCCCACTTTTTTTTACTGACTTTATACATGGTCAGAGCATGTTTGTCTATTGTTTTCCGTTTAATAGTAGCCGGATATTTGCATTACTAATGTTGTGTCAAACGGAGATTAATAGACAAACATGCGCCCATGGTTTACACGAGAAAAAAACTGCTTCTTCTTACATTCGCTCTCTCTATTGTAACCAAGGGCTGTGACATGTTGAATATCATAATTCACCACGTGATTTCTTACCTCACGTAACCTTGTGAACAATAAATTCCGTCACGTGACTTGTAAAGTAGCATGTTTTGTGCTAACTAGGACATTGTGCTCGAACAGGTTAAATTGTTAGGCATTGATTTAAAAGATTCTTTACTTACATGGACGTGCTCATATTGTTAATTTCGTTTTGAAACCTTTGTTAAGGACAGACGATACGTTCCTCAATAATATATAATTTTTTCTAAGAATTTGTCATTGGAGTATTGCTACTTTAACATGTTTACTCGCAAAAAAATTGAGGTACCTTACCAGGCATTTGTGCAAGATACAGAGGATGTTATTTCCTATAAAATCCTTTTGGAAAGAACTTAATTTGCCAATATCACATTTTTTATAGTGTACTTGTGCCATACAGAATAAAAAGGGGTTGGGAAAGAGTGGTTGCGTGGTCTTGTATTTTTTAATACATGTCATTGTTATTTATCTAGACTAATTTTAGACCCATTCTTATAATGTTAGCTCCACCTCTCATGCATACCTAATGTTCAATCAAGGGCAGGTGAGTGTAGATTTTCTATAATTGAAGAGGGTAAGGACAGAAAACATAGAATCATTTTATTGTATCACAGTCTAAAATCATTTTAACATTTTAATTTGGTTCCATATTGACAGGATTTTTTCATAAATATATAATTTAAAAAATGAAATAAGATTAAGATATTAAAGCAACAGAAGCGACCGAAAAAGACCCAAAACCCGTCGTTAAATGCAGTCATTCTTTGAAGCACCTAAAGCAAAATACACTGTACATGTTATCTTTTTAAAATAATCATACTAATCTGCTTTCTTTGAAACACATTTAAGAATTATATTTTTAGCGTCAAGATTTGATCCATGTCTTATGAAACCCTGTCAGCATCATGGTACATGCATTAGTTATGGAGTATCAGATAGCCCTTACTATAGGTGTGTATGTGACTCAATGTGGAATGGATCTAACTGTGAAAGAAAAGGTAAGACATAAGGTTAACCTATACATATAATTTACCTTCAAGGTAATCTACGTCATCTGGTGGTCATCCGATGTTAAAACGAAAAGAAAAGCTCTGATGTAAATGCCACTCTATAGGAATAGAAATAATTAAGTAAATAAATAAGTAAAGCAATTGATAACACTATAAGTTGTGAATTTATCTATATATTGAAAGACTAATCTTCGCTAGCTCGCTTTTGATCCGCTACTCTCCTCACAAATCCCAAGTCGAGAAAAAAATCCTGACTTTTGACAGCTCCGTAGGCCAAAGGTTTGTGAGGTGAGTAGCGGATCAGAAACCCTTGGCTTGCAAGGATGCGAAAGACTATTAGTAAGTTGTGCCAATAAATCTATCAGTTAATGTGCTTTGTTGCAACGCGAAATGTAATAACAACGCAAAATGTAATAAACCGGGATTTTTGCATTTTGCGTTGTTACATTATGCGTCGATATCAACGCAGAATGTAATAACGCAAAATGTAAAAGACTTTTTAGGATTATTACATTTTGCGTTATTACATTTTGCGTCGAGATCAATGCAAAATGTAATAACGCAAAATGTAATAACACGGGTTTTGGATTATTACATTTTGCGTCGAGATTAACCAAAATACAACGCAAAATGTAATAGCACACTCTTTGGTCAGTCATGTTGAGAATGATTTTCAATTGAGTAGTGGATGAAGAAAATATACGGTAAGAACTTAGGACAAAAGGAAAAATAAACATATGCTAATGCTTACATTAGATCTGTTTTCATCATATATTGATTACATTAACCATTTAAAATCAGTTGATATTGAAATCATAGGTGTTGCAAATTAGAAATTACGTGCATGTGCATGTGTGTGTGTGTTTGGGGGGGGGGGTATTTAGTTGAAAATTGTATCAGTTTGCTTTTGCTTTTTGATAGGCACATGCATGAAATTTAGAAAAGAAATCTATTTATTCTTACTGGTGGGAAGGGCGTTTCTTGACAAAGATTTCATGCTGTTTTACAAATCATGTGCATTGCAGACCAGCAAAAAGAAATCTCTCTCTCTCTCTCTCTTCAATAATAAGATGGATAGTTTCTGCATGCGCATAAAAATACAATGATCAACATACGAAGTAACCCCCCTCCCTTCGCTTCTCCTCGCCAGACACACACTTCTAATTTACTTACCAATGTACACATGCACGTCGTTCATGCATATCAAGAGCTTTTAATGGACCCGTGGTCAATCATTGATAATTGAGAATGTCAGTGATGGATATATAAGACGGACTGATTTATAAATACTCGTAGACATGTCAATCAAAGTTAAGTTAATGTTTTATAAGTATTCAATAAAAATGTTAAAAACAGAGTTAGCAAAAATATACAGTTAGATTTAGTAATGTCAGTAAAAGCCGTAACGTTTGTCTCATAGTAAAATGTCTGTGTCTCTATTTAGTAAAGCTAGTTTCCCCATTTGTATACGTTTTTCACGTTGAACACAATACCAAACAAAAATAATTATACTTTGTTTTAATACATTTTGTTTTATTACATTTTGCGTTGTCCTAAACGCAAAAATTAAGTAACAGAAAATGTAACAACAAAACAGAGCATTATTACATTTTGCGTTAATCTTAACGCAAAATGTTATAATCCAAAAATCGTGTTATTACATTTTGCGCCACTGAGACCATAATGGCAACGAACCCGAAGTTCATGTACAATTTGTATTCCCTTCTTTTATCCTTGATGTATATGAAAACAGAGCACCTGAAGAGCAATATATATATATACGAGGGTTGTCCAAAAAGTTCGTGGACAATGGCGTTTTTGTTAAAATGAATGGTTAAAGATATGCTTATTGTATACCAAAATATTAGTTATGAAAATCCAAGTAGGAATAGTTTGGTTTTTATTGTTTGAACTTATCGCTTACTAAACAGACAATGAAAATATTAAGTGAAAACCGCAAGAAGTATGTTTCAAAAATTGACAAAAAAGCGACGTCGGTCATCCGAACGGGACAGCGTCCAATCATACAATTATGGTGAATATGGTTGAAACGTCGTAAAAGACAAAATATTTATTCAAACAACTTAAATTTATTGGAAAATATTTATTTTAGTGATTTGTAATTGGTGTATACGATTTTTCAACGGTGTGTAAAATTTCGGAGTCACTACAAGAAGTGGAAAACCACTGTTACTTGATGAAAATAGGATATATTCCTATTCATGACGTTGTTATAAATATAGCGCCGTCGGGCTGGGCTGTGCATCCTGTGTTTACGAAGTGTTAATATTGATCACTCTCGTAAATTATTGTGTATTGTTTTGAATTTTAAAATTTAAATTAATTAAAATCTATACATAAATATTATTGCACACATTTGGCAATGTGGCAGAATAAAGAAAAATAGCGTGCGTCTATGAACATGCGATAAAAATTCAAAATTCATATTTCTGACGTTATCATGAAATAAGCGTTACGTCAGACTGGCCCGTGCGACTTGCATATACAAAGTATTTACACCTATAATGTTCAGTAAATAGTGTGCATTGTTTTAATTTTTTGTACATTTACTCAATCATGGTCTATATTAAGATATTATCGTACATGTTTGCCATTGCGGACTTTATAAAGAAAATTAAGCATTTGTCCACGAACTTTTTGGACAACCCTCGTATATATATATATATATATATATATATATATATATATATATATATATATATATATATATATATATATATATATATATGGAACAGGTAATAAAATAAAGTTGCTAAAAAGTTAAGAGAAAACGACAATTTAGAAAATGGACGTTTTCACAAAAAGAAAAAGGGGGCGTAGATGTATATCTACTTCTGCTCGTAAACTAACTGCGGGATTTTGAACAAAGTATTTCTTACTGTTATAAGACTGTAATTAACTGTCAGTTGAAATAGAATTGTTAAAACTTCAACTCTCCGCGGTTGCGCGGAATTTCATCTTGTGTTATCCGTGGAGATTTTTTTCTTTGCGGGAAAATGCATGAACTATATAATACTAATATGTAAATGACTAACTGATCCTTCTTACATTTATTTGTATCGTTTAAGATGCTATTAATAGCAGGCGACACATGTTTTCCTTGGAACACTCCAGTTAGAATAAAAGATCATTTTTACCTTAGCTTTAGTTTGCTTTGAGACTTGTTGAACATAGAAGACACTTTGTCCAGGAAAATATTGTTTGATTACATTGTCAATGTTGATGCCATTATAATTTGTTGTCATATTTAAATAAATATTCCCTTAATTAATTAACATTAAGAATTTGTTTTAGAACAAACTGACTCTACTGGAGGTTTTTCACTACTTCATCTCTATCTAATCAGTGAAACATATTGTAGTTCCTCAATGTCAGTTTCAACCATGTAAAAATGGAGGGAGTTGTATGGAAGTAAAGGATGATTTCATGTGCCACTGTCCATCAAAGTTTGTTGGCAAAACCTGTGAAAGTATGTATTTTCTTCATTTTCTTTTCTTTTTTTTTCGATTTTTTTCTCTTCGTAATTTAGGGAACATTAAGTTTTTACCAGCAGATCTATTACTTTTGATAGAGAAAATGTAATATATGAACAGAAAGGTAAAATATATATTTTACAAATAAGATGTCATGAATAATACGATTTAATTTAATTTGAATACATTATATTAAGTATATTCGTTTTTTAAGGACGGGTAGATCTCTGTGACACAGAGGATGGCTGGAGGCATTTTGGAAATCACTGTTATAAAGTGTTTGACAGTCCAATGTCATGGGATGATGCAAGGTAGAGAGAGAGAGAGAGAGAGAGAGAGAGAGAGAGAGAGAGAGAGAGAGTTTGAGATTTGACTGAAGACTTATGTATTTCTAAATGAAAATTTACAGATTTGATGAATTTATTTTACCATTATAAATACACATTTTGTATTTTTTTTAAAAAATTGCACAGTTGTCTCTATTTTGCATTTAGACACTAAATAAGTACATTTCTTAGAAAAAAGTTGTCATTTAGGCATTAGTAAAATTTTGTGAACTCAATCCCATGTCTACGCATCTAATGAAACAGTGCATTGAAAGTTTCCTACCGTCTATCACCTTAATCATAAACAAAGCGCTTTTGGAATCTTAAAGTCCCAGGCAATTTTAAGCAGTCAATTGTTCGACCATTGTGAAAAAGCCAGGATTAGACCCCCCAAAAAATTAAAAAACTACCGTCCTGTTTCGAATCTCTAAGATTCTCGAAAAGGTTGTAGCAAAACAAATCGATGCTCACCTGGAGACTGCATTGTAAGCGACGCATCTTTTGTCAAGAATCTATGCGTATTCTTTGACAAATTTCTTTTGCAAAAAGGAATCCGTGGCACCGATCTTAAATTTCATAAATTCACCGTTCATTACTATTCATTTTACAATGATTGAGACACGGAACATTCACAAAAACTTTGGGACACAAAAGAAGAATGATATGCATGTGTTTTCATACACACACAACTTTGGACTTTTTTGCTTAGTTGAACATCCATTTTTCCGCCTTTAACTTTCCGCTCACGAAATTTCAACTGTTTCTGTGATGTTAACCTGTATTTTCGTTAAGTGATTTGTGACCATTTGCCCATCCAATCCCGCATTGTTTGAGCGAGTGTCTGTCGTAGCTTTATAACTAAAGAGTGTCTTGAGTAAAATCCTTGAAAACCTGAGCTCAGGGGAGAAACTTTTTGTTGTAAATTAAAATAAAATATATCTGAAATAACCTTCCATTTTCACCAAAAGAAAACAAAAATCAAGCTGGTTGGAACAAATCCTGTTGTTTTATACAATCGAGAAACTGTTGTTTCTTGCAAACTCCGAAATATTAGAACATATCCGGATTTTACAGTAGAAAACTTTAAGCTGAAGTTTGCATTTGGTGTTCTCGATTAATGACATTGTCAAAGTACCTGAATCTGAAGAAGTCTTTGTTTTAAAATATACGCCGTCAGCCGTCGTGTTGCGGTGTAAGATGAATAAATTGTCAAGAATATTTAATAGAACTTACTTTTACGCATGCGTAGTATATACATGTATTAAATTGTCACAATGGAGATAAATAAGACTAAACAAAGTTAATCTTCTTATTTACGGATATAACTGTATGAAACATGGCTATGCTTCCTGCTATTGAAAAACTACAGAGGAAAATCCAAAAATAGCCTTCTTTGGCCTAACTTAATGAACAGTGCCAGGTAAATCATCCAAGCAGAACGAGATCCGTTTACCTGTTGTTATCCAATAAGTTAACAATGGAAGTGTTCGACATTGGTGAAATGTTATAAGTAAGTTATGAGCCTCAAACTGGCCATTATATCAGATTTTAGAAAACTCCTCTGCGCTAACGCGTCTCGGACAGTCTAGTATCTGACATAATGGACAGTTTTCAGCTTATTATATATATATATATATATATATATATATATATATATATATATATATATATATATATATATATATATATATATATATATATATATATATATATATATATATATAGTCTGTCAATTATATATTTACAGTGAATGGTGCAGAATAACACAAGATGCAAGTCTACCTATAATTAACGATCCTACCATTCAATCATCTATAAATCATCTAACCCTGGAGGAGAAATCAGATTTGTGGACAGGAATGAGATATTCCAGTGGGGTAAGAAAAAAGAGAATAAACCTCGAATGCTTTGTTCAACGACTTAAAATACAGATTTACATATAGTGTAGCATTACTTTCTTCTCAAATATTAAAAATCTTATCATTACCTTATATTTTGATTTCAGAAATGGTATGATTCCAAAAACACTGAGGTTTTTATTACAAATTTCTACTGGCATCGACTTTTTAAAGGTCCAAGGTATTTTAACTTTAACTTTTTTGCTTCTTTTAACGATGTCATTAAAGGTGCTTGGACACAGATTTGAAGTTAATATTTTCTCAAATTTTCTGTAAAATTTCATGACTTATATGTTGCTATAGCATTTCATACTAAAAAAGAATAAAAATCTTATTTCATCTCGTAGTTATTGAAACTTCAAATTTCTGAACGCGTTTGATTGACACATCCTTGCACTTTCACAAATTTTAATTTTATTCTTAATACTTAAGAAAAGTGGCAATTTTGTTGTGTATTAATGAAAAATATTAAAACTATAATCCAGAAAATTCAGAGTAGAAATGTTCGAAAGCAAAACCCACTCACAGTATTGTCAGTCCGTGCTCAGTGGTGTGTGCAGACTTTAACAATTGAACACACCCAGTGAATCGTAAACATTAACAATAGCAGAGCTCGTGCCCTGTTTACAAAAACAGTTTACGTTTCACGGGTGTATTCAATTTGTTAAACTCTGTATACAACACTGAGCACGGGCTGACGATATTAGTGAGAGGATTTGCTTTCGCACATTTCTACTCTGAATTTTCTGGATTATAGATGCAATGTTTTTCATTAATATACATCAAAATCGCTTCTTTTCTTAAATGTTAGGGATAAAGATTAAATTTGTGAAAGTGCAAGGATGTGTAAATCAAACGCGTCCAGGAATTCGTAGTTCCAATAATTTCCAGATAAAATAAGTTTTTAATTATATTTTCGTGTGAAATGCTATTGCAATATATAAGTCGTGATATTATACAGAAAATTTGAGAAAATATTAACTTCAAATCTGTGTCTAAGCACCTTTAATAAAACGTGAATCTTTTACTAACATATAAAGGCAGAAATACGGTAGCCCATTTAGGACCTATAGGAAATATTTTTGACATTAAGGGCCTATAGAAAAATATTTATGAATTCGATAAAACGAATTGTCGAATTCGTTTAAATGAAGTTAATTCGATATACCAATTTAAAATATTCGTTGAATTCAATTTAATTCGTTATAAAACAAACAAAATTTTGAAATCGTTATAATGAATTCCACAAATGTTATAATTAAATTCGTTAAGGTTAAATTCGTTATAAAGAATTTTAAAAAATGATATAAATTATGATATAAATTCAATTCGTTTAAAAAAAAGACAATTCGTTATATAGTATTCAAAGATACTTTTAATTAAATGGGCTTCCGTACAGAAAGAGCTCCTTAAAAAGTTTAATTATACATCAGTGTTTTAAATTTGTAGATCAGGAAATGATTCCTGTATATTACTGAAACAACCAGATAACAGAACAGCCTCTGTACATGGGAACTGGGTTCCTCTCAGCTGTCAACTGCAAAAGAACTTTGCCTGCTCTAAACCAGAAGGTAGACGTTCACAGTTTCTGAGTTCTTTGGGATAATAATCTTTCAATTATAATAAATAGAGATTTACATGTAGATATTTTAAGCAATCATAACAAATGGACAACAGTTTCCAATGTACTTTACAGAAGTCATCACAATCATCTTTATTCCTTACAATGTAATTGCATAGATAGTCGGAAAAGTATGATGTTATTGTGTTAAAACTAAAGCAAGGTTTTACAATATTTTACACCTCAAAACAAATGTCTAACTGGGGCAAACTTTTGGGGTCCTGTAGATTGCTAGATAAAATAGAAATAAAGGATAGAGATTGTTATTATAGTTAAAAAATCATCAAGAAAAAGCCAATATACTTAAAGCGACAGTACGGCTGCAAATTGTGTGCTTTTTCATTCAAATTTACCCAATATGTCATTAAGAAATAACGTTTAAAGTTGATGTAAGCAGTTTGAGAAACAGAAATATTCTCTACTCAAACAAAATTAACGTAATTAGAATCTGCCGGAAAATCAAGGGGCGTACGAACTGGAGCAATCTTAGATCTGTTTATTTGTACCACGCGAATTCTAAAACGGCACGTGCCTAACATGCCTACAGTTTACAATTATAATGAATATGAGGTAAAAGCAAATTTTCAAAAACAAATTATCATAACTTTCTGATAAAATAATCTAAAATGATAATCGTAAAGATTTTAGTCTGCATTCAGGCGAATTTAACAGAATTAAAAGTACAAATGTTGACGTTTTGTGTATTGGGGTCCGAGAAAGGAAAAAAATCAACTAATCATACGTTATCGCGGCAAATGTCAAACAAAATATTTTTCTGCACAGTTAAAAAAATTAGCATTTCAAATGGCAACAATGTTTATAAGTCAAAGGTGTATTTTTATGTTGAGTTTACACTATTTTTTTTCTTTGAAAGCGATGTAAAAATGAGAAATGATAACAAGTATCAACAAACCTGTCGAATAGAACCTTCGAGAGCCCTGCGTGAGTGTCGCCGAGTTCCCGTTCCTTCCTTATCCAGCGATCATATTAATCCCCAAACTAAATTTTAGTCAGGAAAGTTGCCTTTTCAAGTTCTGTTTTCAGTTTCTTTTTATTTTTGGTCGACTTTGTCAATGTATCAGGTCTACCGGGATTCCGTCTCTAACCATGCTGTTTTGTTTATGAAAACTACGCATGCGTGCATAGCATGGAATGTGGAACCCCGAACACGTTGCGATGTATATATTTACGTCCCATAAATAAGTATTAATTTTAATGAAATAATATACATATATTACATGGCTTCGAGGGCAACATACCAGAATATTTGCCCCCGAGGTGACAGGAAAGCCCTGGAGAGTTATGTCGCCCGATGCCGAAGGTAGAGGGCGACATAACACTCCAGAGCTTTCCTGTTACCGAGGGGCAAATATTCTGGTATTGTTGCCCGAGAAGTCATGTAATATATGGTATATAACATTTTTAAAAAACCAAAATCGGACATATGTATTGAAGACTATGGACCTGTGTAAATATCTGGAAAAAACATGCAAATTGTTTTTTAAATAGTTGATTGGTGGGTACCAATAGTTTCGATAATAATGCTAAGGAACATTAACACTCTTGTTGTTAAAATGATAACGGGGGACGGCTGAAAGTTATGAAGGCTGATTTCTCTTCCTCTATAAATAATTCCGAAATATTCCGTCTTGTTTCATTGCAGAATGTTTTCAGCACGCTGACACTTGTGCTTAAAACTTTTGTTGTATTTACGGAATTTTTCTCCTCAATCAAACTATCTAGTTCCTCTGAATTTAAATGAAGATAAAAAAACGTAGACGTTTTCCAGACATTTTCATTTTCGCGGAACTGTTTACGTTTGCTTAGCAACTGCCTCTGTGAATTTCGAACCCGATTTAATTAATATGCAGAATGATTACACGCGAGGGAATATAACGGTGTTCGGGAGGGCAACATAACTGTTTCCGGTGTAATATAACTATATCCGGCGTGATTCAGCAGTTTTTCAGGGCATATGGATAAAAATATCATATTTGTGATATAATGGGAAAATTTCTTCAAAAATGTTATATTCCAAATTAGTTAATTGTAAAAGTTGTAATTTTCTGAAAGTTTATACATTTATGAGTAGTAAAAAAAATCCCAAATCTTGTCGGAAAATTTTATCTAGTCAGTGTTTTGATGAGATGCGCCGTACTGTCACTTTAATCATATTAGCCACCTAAAATGCCCATTATATATATACCTCTTTCGTAAGTGGCGAAATCCCAGCCCAGCTTACAAGTGTTTTCCTTAAGTTTCTTTCTTATTGTGTAAAGTGTGAAAGACATCATTTTCAGTAAGTTTGGTAATCTTGAGGTATGCAGACAATTGATTAAGAATATATACAAATGTATATGATTTTAGGACTTTGTCCTGGAGGATGGTTTTATCATCAAAACAGATGCTTTAAACACTTAGACGACTTGCAAACATCAATAAAGGATGCTAAATATAGATGTAGAAGACTAAATTCTAGTCTACTAGAGATCAAGAGGTACGTTTATTTTTCTTCGTTCCTTATTCAAGGTACATTTCTACTGTTCACAAAATTCATGTAACTTAAACATAAGATAGACTAGAGGATATGAAAAATGCAAAATGTTTTGATCATAAAAAGGCTATCCGTGTATACCCCTTTGCTAGTCTGAAATATGTAACACAGCAAAATTTTTTTTTGATTTTTCTTCACTTAAGTTTTCTCATCTTTAAGCATTTATAATCTTTTTTGTCTGCAATTAGCTCTGCAAAATAAAAACTGCTAGTAATAGCATTAGGATTATATCATGAAATAAATTGGTAATATTGATGATTTTTGATTAATCTTATCTTCAAAGGAATCATGCAATACCTTACAGGAAATCAAAACTTTCAAATTCTTATTTTTAGCGAGGAAGATGTAAGCTTTTTACAACTGTTTCTAGACCTTGAAAGAACTGGCATCGGAAATGATGGGAAATTCTGGCTTAATTTAATTCGTAAGAATATTAAGTTTTACAAAGGAATGTGTTAATTATTACACATATACGGAAGCCCATTTAGCACCTATCAAAAATATTTTTGAATTTGATAAAACGAATCGTCGATTTTGTTAAACGAATTTGATTCGTTAAAACAATTTTTTGTCGTTTTAACAAATCTAATCTGTAATACAAATTTGTTAACTTCGTTATAGGGAATTCGAATTCAAAAATTTGTTATACCAGATTTAACGAATTCAAGACATTGTTATAACGAGTTAAATTTCGTTTTAGCAAATTCGATAATTTGTTATATCGTTCAAAAGTATTTGATTTTTGATGGGTCCTAATTGGGCTTCCGTACACATACCGCCAGCAAAGTGAGAAGGAGATATATGTTTATCCATGTTTGTCTTGTTTCCGTTTTCCGCAACATATTATTAAAAGTTGAGCAAGAATATCAAATTCTTTATATTATAACACTAAATCGTTTTAACAAATATTATAATTCATGATTAATGACTCCGAAGTACAATCCATGTTACGTTGCAATGTTGGTTATTGATAAATTCAATTATTTGTTAGAAAATTTTTCTTGAAGATGCTTATCAAATGGCATGATATCAGTCTTTTGGAAATGATATTTATATATTTCTTGTTTTATGTCAAATGTATGAAAACTATACGTTTATATACTTGAAAAATGTATCGAAGTCGGTAGCACGTTGGAACGACGTTTGCAAGATGGTGAGTTCGATCCCCGGCGTGGGTGCTAACACATTATCTGTAGAAACTATTCCGGCATAGTATGCTTACGGTATATAAATCTCGAATACTTTTGCAAAAATACTAGTAGTTGGATATAGATTATATAGAGACAAACTAACAGGAATAATTCGGCATATTATGCTTAAATCCTTAAAACACTATGCGAAAATAATCGGGTATATATATATATATATATATATATATATATATATATATATATATATATATATATATATATATATATATATATATATATATTTACATTTCCAAATATTTTTCCTTAAGATTCCTTGCAAATTAGAAGACTGTTCATTTTCTCATGAACTACCATGGATGAGCATGAATATCTCCATTGTTACGTCATAATACCGCACTCGACGTCAAAACTATAGTGCAAACTGTTTTGCTTAACGTAGAACCTACGTCGTATGACGTCATATCAAGTAAATCCGTTTAGACCGTCTTTTTGATGCTAGATCCATTATGACGTCATAATTAATTTAATGTTACTTTTCCCCGTACTTTCTCCAAGAATGTCTCTTGTAATGAAGTTACACAACTGTGATAATGTGAATGGCATGCAACTATTTTGAAGGAAATCAAAAAACCTAAGAAATCTAAATAGTACAATATCTTGATAAAAATGTCTCCAAGTCAAAGATCTGTTAAATATTGTGTGTAAATTTTGTAATGTCTATCATGAAATGATGTACATTCCCTTTCATAATTATTTGTTAATTATTCATAATGGTTGGTGTATAATAATAATGATTCCCTAAAATATCTTTTTAAATAGAAAAAATTACATTTTTTGATAAATATTTACATTGTAAATCTGATACAACCGCAAAACAGTCAGTTAATAATTAAATCCTGTGTTAGTGCAGAAAGGTCAACAAAAGAAGTATTGATAAATAGAGTGTCTCTCATTCGTTTGTGGCGAAAGGTATATATTTTAATCACTTTTTGTAATTATTTGTGTATCTTCTTCACCATATTAAAGATTGAAAACATTCTGACAAAGACTTTTGAAAAATATATACAAATTTAGGTGGTAAATTGACTCAAAAAAATATTGAGCACATTTGCCTATAATCGTTGAAATGTGGACTTAATCTTTTATGTCAATTGAATAAAAAAGAATTTATTGTTGAATAATATTGCTTAATACGGTTCAATTGATAAAGTCTATAAAAGACGATGTTTGAAGAAGTATTGTTGTCATTTTCTATATTCTCATTATGACCAGTACCCCTAAAAATGGCTGAAAATATGTAGTCGCAGTGTAAAATTATCATTCCAAGTTGCACAGGCTGTACTACATTTAATTACAAGGAAACATACCATATATTTTTATCTGATTGACAAGCGAGTGCTAATTTATCATTTTGAAAAGTTTGAAAATCTTGTGACAAAGACTTTTCCGACATAGGTTCTACCTTAAAAAAATGATAGTTGAATAGCGTAACTTATGGTGACTCATCAGAAAAATAATGTAAATATAAGAAATGAATTTAATTTTTGAAAATTCATGAGGTACATGAACTACAACGCTTCACGCCGGCATATTTATCATGAAGCGCTAACGCGCTTCATGAAATATGCCGTTGTGAAGCGTCGTAGTTCATGTCCTCATGAATCTTCAAAAATTAAATTCATTTCTTAAATATATATATATATATATATATATATATATAGAGAGAGAGAGAGAGAGAGAGCATAAAAATGAGTCTTATAGGTGACGATGACTCGCTGATAAGCCCTTGGGTTTGGGTTTGGGATTCCTATGGAAATCCACAAGTAACATTTACAAAGTTTCCAAAGAACAGCATTTCGTTAGGAGACTGTGCCTACATGGATATAGGTATGTTGTCTTTATCATTTCTACCTCTGTTTGATTAATATTCCCAAGTAAGGAGTGAAGTGAATGGTAGTGAAATGGTGAAATTCATACAAGTAAAGCAACAGCAGCTAAAAGATAATTTGTTATTAATTCAATACCTTAAACGTTTAAATTGTAATCCTACCAAATTTAACCTATAACATCATGTGCATGAAGCATATAGAATGTTTTGTAAGTTCAAATAAGTCTTGCATCTGTAGCATGATAAACTATGTTAAAAAATAATTTCAGATAGGAACGGCACATGGTTCACAGATAAGTTATGTTCAGCGGCACTAAGTGTTGTCTGCTACCACACTGTGGGATCAGTAGAATGGATAAAGAATATGAGGAAGAATCTCCGCCTAGGTATGTACTATTTCCAAATATTTCCATTTTTAATTGTTTTCTTTGTGATAATTCAATGATGATAATATTTTGAAGATTCCAATCATGGATTTTCCGAGTGCGGCAAGGGCTGGGTTGAAGACAGCAGGTCATCATGTTTTTATTTTATCTCCAAACTGTTAACCTGGTCTTCTGCCGAGTATGAATGTCGGAAAAGGGGAGCCCATCTGATCAGCATCGACGACGCTGAGGAGCAGGCATTTATTACAGGTCAGTCAATAGGTCTACTAGATTGCCCTCAGTAGAAATCACCCAATTGAATACAGGGTTATTTTTTAACTGTGTTATTTTCGCTTTACCAGTTACCACACTTGCAAACAGTATGACACCGCAAACGTATTTTAAGAACTTTGTTGAATCTGCCCCGTTTTGAATTCGTCAACCGACGACGAAAGGCAAGGGGCGAAAATACGCCCTGTATGCAATATTATCCAATAAGAATGAGTTATATTTTCTTGTACTTAATTGATAGGTGTTTTAAAGTCGATAGATGTTGATGGCTCGGTGTGGATTGGTGCTAATTCGCGCACCGAAGGAGTTGGATTTCAGTGGACAGATGGTGATCCATTTGTCTATTACAACTGGTTTCCAGGTGAACTTAGCTTTAATTACAACAATTTCAATAGAAAAGTTTGACCTTAAATGCCGTCAAGTAAAAATTGAAGAGAGAGAGAGAGAGAGAGAGTCATAATTTTTTAAGGTAAAAAACACAAGAAAAAAGAAAATTGTATTCATAATAGAGGACGAGGATCGACTGACAAATTCACTCTTGCTACAACATAAACTCCAAGTGTAATTTTAATCAACTTTTGAAATTTTTTACAGGTGATCCCGAAAGTCAATTAGAGGGTGATGAAGAATGTGTCGCTATGTTTATTTCCAACTCACTATGGACAGACAACTCATGTCAACAATTACATTCTGCTGTGTGTGAGAAGATGAGTTAGTAAAGCACTTCTTCACATTTATGTATAGGTCTCTGACTGCAACTAATTTCATAGCCTAATTTCAAACATATTTAAAGAAAGAAATCATATTGAACTATATAGAACTATATCGGATAAATACAAGTACTAATCTGACAACTAGTTTTTACTATTTTTAATCTTTGAAGGACCATCCAAGAAAAAGAAAGAACCATCTAAAATTTCCAAAGGTAAAGTTTAGTTTCTTGGATTATTTAAAACAATTAAGAAACAGTGATTATATTGCTGGTTTATATCTTAAGGAATAAGTAAAGACAAGAAACTATGTATTACTTTAGTTAAAGGAAATTGTCATCCCGGATGGATACCGTACCGCGATAGTTGCTTTTTTATCAAGGAAAAAGCAACAACATGGGACCAAGCCAGTGCTCTTTGCCGCCAACAAAACGCCCATCTTGCCTCCATTTTAGACCAAAATGAGCAAAATCTAGTGTTCAGCCAGCTTCCAAGAGGTTTGTTGGTTGTATTATATGTTTTTATTTCACTTCCTAGCCAATATAAAACTGAGTATACATTACATTTAGTAAAGTCGAAATAAAAAAAACAAAATGTAAAATTAATTAAAGAACCTTAACCCTGATCCTTATTGCGAGGTAATGTCAGAAAATTGTAATGCATGGAGGATTTATAACATCATTTATGCAACATTTTGGTTAATTGCGTTTTCTTTTAACTTTACTATAGAATATTTCATGTAAGCATTTGGACATGTAAGGCAGAGAGACGTCATGCTTATTTAACAAAAGACTAGTGTCAACTTTTATTTGAAATAAAATAACCTGGTGGTAAAAAGGATTATTCTTCTCGTATGTAGTTTTTCAATAACGCTTTTATTTTTACGTAAGCTATTCCATCAACATCATATGGCTACTGGATTGGACTCCGAGATAGAAAAGGGAACACTTTTCAATGGGAAGACAATAGGGATGTAACATTCGCACGATGGCAGAGAAATGAGCCGCAGGGTTTTACTGCGTATAAGCAAGGATGTACATATATCAGTTTCCAAGTGAGTAGAATAATGTGTAAAATAACTCTATAATGTTTTAAATGTGAAGTACATTTAATATATATTGAAAATATTTATGACTCTTCCTTGTATTGTAGAAAGGATTGTGGGGTGATGAAGGATGTGATGTAATCAGGCCAGGATATGTATGTAGATCCAAAAAGCAGTCTAATGTAACAAACACTGTGTCGCCCCTATCAGCTGGGTGTGAAAAGGTTGAATTTTAAAATGAGAGAGGAGATTAATTAATGAAGATTTATGGAATGAACTTAAAAACGTTTTCCGTTTTAATGATAAATATTCCTTGTTTTATGTTAATTCTGTTTTTAACAGGATGCCGTCGGATTAGAAAACCTCTGTTATTACATATTTGATTCGCATAAGACGTGGGACGACTCAGAATCAACGTGTTTGTCAGTTGGTGGACATCTAGCAACAGTAGACTCATTGTTGGTTTGGCAAACTGTTTGGTTCTTTTCTACAATAACATTTAACTTACAACATGTGATTTGGAAAATTTGAAATCACAAAATTTTACCAAAATCAACAGCATAAAAACTTACGACTTTTCAACTCTGTATACAACCAAAAATTAAAGTCCAGGCTTTTTGATATCAGTGACAGCTGCTTTTCCAATAAAATGGAACTCCCAAATTTACTTTACCTTGTCATTGGTCATTTGCAAATTTATTTTATTAAAAAGTTGGTATTAAAGGATGCTTGAGTTTCTGATTGACCATATCTATGTAGTTTTTGGAGATCAGGTCTTCCAACAATCTGTTTGAATTTCCACGCCCGTTGTAAGCATTCCGATTTTTATATTCATTTGAAGCAGAATTTATTCAAAATCTTATAATGAGAAAAAGAAATCTCTTGCTGTGGCCTTCAACTCGACATTTAGATATATCAAAATCAAATTGAAAGCTTGATTTTTAATGCTTAATATTTCTTTACTTTGTCTTCTTTGCAAAAAAAAAAAAGCAAAAAATAATTCACTTTTTTAAATTGATTTTCACAGACATGTGATGGCATTTCTTGATAGTCAACTTCTAGAAAAGGATATCAGAGTCCAAATTTGGTCTGGGTACACAAAGAGTTCAAATCTTAGTCGCTGGTCAAGTGGAAAAACTATACAGAAACAACCACTTTTTGAATTTGGTAATATCTGTTCTAGTTTGAAATTTAATACCTGTTATATAAGTGAAACAATTTAATTTTCATTTAAATTACTTATGCAGCAATATACCCTTATCACCTGCATATGGGGTTTATGTCTCTCAGTTGATTCAATATGCAAGAGCATGCTCTACGTATGAACAATTTCTAAAACGAAGCAAGCTATTGACAAATAAGTTAATGAGACAAGGATATTAACAGTCTCGTTTGAAGTCATTATTTTGCAAGTTTTACGGTCGATATAATAACCTTGTCAGCACATACAACCTATCACTGAGTCCAATTCTGAATGACGTTTTTCATACTAATTGTTAGGCCATTATTTATACACTGAACTGTCAACGGACTTTTCCGGGTTTTTTCGATCATGACAAGGAGCACACGGCGGGTGTGACCGGTCTGCAGGGGGTGCTCACTCCTCCATGGCACCTGATTCCACCTCTAAATTTTGAGGTCCGTGTTTGCTCTGCTCCAAATTTGTATCGTTTCACTGGACTTTCGAGATTGAATACTGTTCGTTATCTTCATTTTTCATTTAAATAAAATTTTAAAAATGGATTCCTTTCGATGAGATATATTTATTCAGATCCGTTTGATACGTATTCTAGAATTTATATGTTACAAAAAATACAATGCAGGATTTTTTTTTCCGGGAATGAGCATTCATAGAGACTTATCTATAACTTGACCAAAGATTAATATTCATATTTTTTCGAAATTGTCGATGAAGTACTGAATAATATTTTTTAGGTTTCATTGAATATTTCACTCTGAATCATTAGGTCAGTTATAATTCAAGCTTGTTCAAATGCTTGATCCTGGACATCTAGGTGTACTTTAGTTCAATTTTACCATATGTCAGAATGTTTTGTACAGAGTGTTTCCATAATACATGTTACATTTTTCAAATTTATATATCTTACAGTAGTGTTTGCATGAAATTTTTTTCAAATAAACTTTTTGTAATTTATATAAATTTCAGGTACTAACTTAGCAAGAAGATGCGGTACTTACCATCCCTTGGGGCATGCCCTGAACATAACAAATTGCGATGAAACCCATTCTTTCATTTGCGAAAAACCAAGGGAAGGCTTTAATATCTCCTATCCAAACAACACAACAGTATCTCAACCAAAATCTGAACAAAATTGTTCTGCAGGCTGGTATAGGCATAATATGAGCTGTTTTAAGGTATGGAAAAAGTATAAACCTAGAGGAAATTGATATTTGCCATTGCAACTTATTGTAATCGTTGTAAAAATATATATGACTAAAATATAAAGCTTATTAAATCTTTATGAGGAAATTAAAGGCTATTTTCAACGTCCAGTAAGGTAAAATGCTTGGGAATCAATTTCAGGAGTTTTTAGAAAAACTGCCATGGACTGCAGCAAGAAGGAAATGTAGAAACATTGGTGCTCGTCTGACTACCATTGAAGATGCGACGTCCTTTTCATTTATACTTAAGACGTTTAAAAGGTAATTTATGAGCGTTTTCTCGCACACTTTGAGTATAATTTGCTTTTAAAAACAGTTTTGATAGATATAAAATCTGAGTTATTTAAGGAATCACTAGACAGTGATTCCTTATACATGTATTTCCATTTCATTTCATATATATATATATGACACTTTAAAAAAACTGCAGCGTTCTGAAAACTTTATGATAAATTAAACAAAGGGCATCACTGGTATTTCAAATGAATGATTTGAATTTTATGTAGGTGCTGTGTTAAAGGTAGACAAATATAATAACACAGGTCGCCATAAAAATGGAAATTTTGAATTCTAGGCCTATACCTCACTGCTCAATGGCCCTGAGTGCCGAGCAAAGGTCTAAATTTAAAGCCCTTCCCCTGTAGATGGTAACGGCTCTATTTGAGTGAAAATTCTCGAACTTGACGTAAAACAACATACGTACAATCAATCAATCTAAAGCCATGATACGTCAAAGAAATATAGAAACTTCCTCGGGTAGTGTATAATCAAGTTTGCTCAGAACCATGCCCCTCAGGGTACGTAGGGACCACTTGTATATATTGAGACTTTTCAATACTGAATTAATTTCTGCTCTTTTCTACCAAGTGATGAGGCCCATGGACCTCTCGTTTTAATTTTCCCATTTATCACTGTGTGCTTATCTGTTTGCAGTATAATGAAATCTAACTGGTGGATAGGATTAAATAGCAGAGATATGTCAATGAGTAAGTGCTATAAAATTTATCCTGTAAAATCAAAGCTATGATACGTACCATTAGTCGGAATTCAATTTAAGGATCGGTTTTGAGCGTTTTTGATATGCAATATAAGTATGACGATGCAATTATATGAAATGGAAATTTATTGACTGTTATGGCTCAGGTGAGACTTGCAGCATGTGGTCAAACGCCTGTGCAACATGGCACTGGTCTGACAATGATGATGACCCGCCCTTCCGTAAATGGGGGTATGGTGAACCAAATAATTTTATGAGAGTAGAACGCTGTGTCGTGATGTCTAAATCAAACGGAGAATTTAATGACTACCAGTGTTCCGCTCCTAGTCCATTTATATGTGAAGCACGACTGGGTAAGATTTAGTGCCTATAATTATTTTTATCTCAGGAAATTTATTTTGAACGTAATTTGGAAATAAAGTTCAAATTTTAAAATCATTTCAATAATTTTTACATTTTAGGATCGAAGATATTAGAAAATGGGGAATCTTCTACCTATTCACCTGGTTAGTTCGCTTAGAATTGCGGTTTATCTGAACAGTGAAATAAAGGTTTAACATTTTTAGCAACAAGCCTAAGTACTTGCGATTTATTACCTTCTTGTATTAGTTAATGCAGTTTTTCTTTTTGAAATACAAAGTTCTTACATCATATTAGGGGCATGTATTGGCAACTATGGCATTGTGTACAGGCACCTTTTACTAAGTAATTATGTTTAATTGTTCAGACCTTGTAGATTTCTTTATAATATAGAAATATGTGCTTGATAGTTAGGTATCTAAATCATTAAATCTGTAGGGGGGGGGGGGGGGAATTGGAAATTTTCTTACACGACACATTTTATAAGGTTTTTTCAGTATACACACAATTCATTAAAAATGCACCGGTAATTCAAGACAACGAAATATAAATACTTTTAAAAAATATTTCTTCTTCAAGAAAAGTGTGATGAGGATGGATATTTCCTTTATAAGGATTTTTGCTATGCCCTCAGCGATACGGAAACATCGTACTTCTCTGCAGAGACCCGCTGTAGAACTCAAGGAGCAGAGCTAGCAAGCATACATGGTCATGATGAGTTAGACTTCATTCTATCTCTCCAAAAGGTTAATGTTTTCATTATGAGGAAAAAGGATCGCTAGCTAAAGAACAAAACTGAAGCAATATAATTTCAGTACTACCATTAATTAATTAAATGTTTTTATTTAATTTTTTTCTTCAGTGAAGATTTCTTGTTTCTCGTTTTATCAGAACTATGATGCAGAAAACGATATCTGGATTGGCCTTAAAAGAGTTACGCACCGCGGTTTAAAAAGGTTATTATTTTATTTATGTTTGTAATTTACTTGTAGGATAAAAGGAGATACAAATAGTTCATACCTTATTTGTAATGCAAAAATTAGTGATTTTGGTTTAAAGAAAATTTTCTTTTGTTTTCGTACACAAAGATGGGAGTGGTCCGACAAATCCCCCGTCGACTTTGTGCTTTGGAAGAAAAATGAGCCAGATAATATCCAGTTGAATGAGAATTGTGTTGTAATGTCAGGATTTAAAGGTAGACTGATAATAATCATTTCAAGTTTTAGTTTGTCACATTATACATATATGACCTAGTCGATGTCAAAATTATCAGATAAATGTTCTTTTGAAAAGAAGATTGTAATGTACATAATCTATTTACAGAAGCAGTTAAAAAAAATAAAAAGTTTTGATTTCAGTTGATATGTTGGTTTAAAGTTTACACTCATTTTACAATGGCTGGTAAGAAACGTACTCAAAACGCAAATTAAAACAAAATAAGGAGTACGTCGTACATCTTAAAAAATCATAACAATATAATTATCTTCCTTGTTTTCAGTCTATATAATCATAAGATGATAGATAACCTGCTTGTTTTCTGTCTCTATAACCATAAGATGATAATTATCTTGCTTGTTTTCCGTCACTATAACCATTCAATGATCCTGCTTGTTTTCTATCTTTATGACCATAACATGATAATTATCTTGTTTGTTTTCTATCTAAATATCCATTACATGATAATTATCTTGTTTGTTTTCTATCTATATATCCATTACATGATAATTATCTTGTTTGTTTTCTATCTATATATCCATTACATGATAATTATCTTGTTTGTTTTCTGTTTGTTGTTTATTTGTTTGTTCGTTGTTTAACGTCACTCTCGAGAATTTTTCACTCACATGGAGACGCCACCACTTGCCAGTGAAGAGCTGCAAATTTTTTTTACCTATACTAGGCACTTAGGGCCATTGAGCAATGAGGGATCTTTTTCGTGCCAGCACCTACTGCGACACGGAACCTCAGTTTATACGGTCTCATCCGAAGGACCGGTCTCCACGTCCACAGTGGGATTCGAACCCGCGACTTAAGGATCAACTCCTTACTCCGCGACTCTAGAGCAGACGCTCTAACCATTGCGCCACGCGGGCGACTGTTTTCTGTCGATATATCCATTACATGATAATTATCTTGTTTGTTTCCTTTCTTTATAAACCATTACATGATAATTATCTTGTTTGTTTTCTGTTTTTATGACCATAACATGATAAATATCTTGTTTGTTTTCTATCTATATATCCATTACATGATTATCTTGTTTGCTTTCTGTCTATATATCTATTACATGATAACTATCTTGTTTGTTTTCTGTTTATATATCCATTACATGATAATTATCTTGTTTGTTTTCTATCTCTATGACCATTATACAATATTTTTTCTGTCTCTATAATAGGTTTATGGGATGATGACCCTTGTCTTGAAGAGAATGGATTCATTTGCAAAAAAAGAAAATCGCCCATTCAATTAAATGACTCCAAAGAAAACAAAAAAATCAAAGTCATTGAAGGCGGATGTTCAAAAAATTATACTTCATCGCCTTTCAGTAAGTAATTTAAGTTACTCAGTAATTTAAAGTGGATAATATGACACAAAAACTGGATTAAAAAATGTTATTTTTGTATGACCGAAGCAAATTTTGGTCAATTCTTGAAACTATGAAGTTTTATAAAATCATAGCTTTCAATACCTAAAGAATCTACTTTCATGGAGGAAAATAATTATTTTTTGGGCCAGGAAAAATATTGCTCCACTCCTTCCTCCTTATTCTTACTGTACGCGTGCGCAGTAAAAAAAAAAAGAACACGTTACCATGATCTCAAGTCCCTAAGTAGACTGAGTATGTTGATACAGTCTCTGAAAAAAATAATCATAACATATTTTTCACATATGGTTTCCCTAATATGATGGTGTGTGACGATAAATATTGTCGTTTTGTACATATTGTTGTCGGCGACAATATGTACCTACCCTCACTGCACATATTGTCGTCCATCGGTACATATTGTCGCCGGCTGAAAAGTTACACATGTACATATTGTCGCCGGCGACATTATGTGCCTCACCCTCACTGTACATATTGTCGCCCGACAGATATTATACAGTTAAAGTATATCATTGAAGGAGTTAGCAAGATTCCAAATCCCCAAGGCCAGGACTATTTCCAGAGGCGAAGCCGAAGGAAATAGTCCTGGTCGAGGGGAACTGGAATTTTGCTAACTCCCGCAATGATATACTTTTAACTGTTTTATCATACCGATACAAACGTAAAATTTACAGGATTCAGATAGCGTGATTTCAAAGCAGGGATTGGCTTACTAAACTAACACACGGGGATTAGTCCATTCATATATCATACCAATGTAAAAGTAAAATTTAGAGGAGAACGGATAACCGGGAATTAGCTTTCGAAGCAGGGATTAACTCACTTGACTAACGCACGGGGAGTAGTCCATTCATGACGATTTCTAGGGAATTAGTCACATATAGCGATCTAATGTTATACATGTATAGGGAAAAAATGAGTAGAGGTATAATAATATTGCTTAAAGATTTCTTTATTTCTTTTTTTTTTTTGGTAGTTTTGTGAATGTAATTGGTATGTGAATCACACTGACGTGTCTCGTATGCTATTTCATGCAGCGTGATTGTGACGGAACATTTTGTCGTCCTTTTCATATTGTCGCCGGCGACAATGTGTGCCTACCCTCACTGTGCATATTGTCTTCCATCAGAAAATGTCGCATGACAATGCACGGCAATGCTCCATATAAATATGGCCAGAGAAACCAAAAACATCAAAAATAGTCATATACACTTAATTTGATACATTTACATTATATATATATATATATATATATATATATATATATATATATATATATATATATATATATATATATATATATATATATATATATATTATACATATATTACATGGCTTCGAGGGCAACATACCAGAATATTTGCCCCCGAGGTGACAGGAAAGCCCTGGAGTGTTATGTCGCCCGATGCCGAAGGCAGAGGGCGACATAACACTCCAGGGCTTTCCTGTTACCGAGGGGCAAATATTCTGGTATTGTTGCCCGAGAAGTCATGTAATATATGGTATATAACATTTTTAAAAAATCAAAATCGGACATATTTATTGACGACTATATGTGGACCTGTGTAAATATCTAGAAAAAAACATGCAAATTATTTTTTTAAATACATTTAGCTGATTGGTTACTAATAGTTTTGATAATAATGCTATGGAATATTAACACTATTGTTGTTAAAATGATAACGGGGATGGCTGAAAGTTATGAAGGCCAATTTCTCTTCCTTTATAAATAATTCCGAAATATTCCGTCTTGTTTCATTGCAGAATGTTTTCAGCACGCTGACATTTGTGTTTATAAATTTTGTTGTATTTACGGAAATTTCTCCTCAATCAAACTATCTAGTTCCTTTGAATTTAAATGAACATAAAAAAACGCAGACGTTGTCCAGACATTTTCATTTTCGCGGAACTGTTTACGTTTGCTTAGCAACTGCCTCTGTGAATTTCGAACCCAACTTAATTAATATGCAGAATGACTGCACGCGAGGGAATATAACGGTGTTCGGGAGGGCAATATAACTGTTTCTGGTGTAATATAACTATATCCGGCGTGATTCAGCAGTTTTTCAGGGCATATGGATAAAAATGTCATATTTGTGATATAATGGGAAAACTTCTTCAAAAATGTTATATATATATATATATATATATATATATATATATATATATATATATATATATATATATATATATATATATATAATTTATATATATATATATATATATATATATATATATATATATATATATATATATATATATTTCTATGTAAAACTTTGATCACCCATTGTGGCTCCACCCTACCCCTGGGGTCATGATTTGAACAAAATCGATTTTGTATTTGTTTGTTTGTTTGTTGTTATAATGTCCATCTCGAGAATTTTTTATTCATATGTATGAATTTTTCATTCGAATTCACCATTTGCCCGTGGAGGGCTGCAAATGTAGACCTATACTAAGCACTCAGGGTCATTGAGCAGTGAGGGATCTTTTTCGTGCCAGCACTTCAAAATTGAACGTACGCTATGTGACGAAGCTTTCACATAAGTATCATCTCTTCTGACCAAGTACCTCTTGAAAAAAAATTTGAAAGAATTTTTTTCTAAATATTCCATGAAAAACTTTGATCACCTATTGTAGCCACACCCTTCCCCCGAGGGTCATGATCTGAATAAAACTGAATCTACACTTCATAATGAAGCTTTCACATGTTTCACCTTTCTGACACAGTGGTTCTTGAGAAGATTTTAAAAGATGTCACTAAATTTTCACTAATTCTTTACTTCCCTTGAAAGAGGACAAGGCCCTTCATTTGAACAAACTTGAATCCCCTTTATCCAAGGATGCTTTGTGGCAAGTGTGGATGAAATTGACCCAGTAGTTCTTGAGAAGAAGCTGAAAATGTGAAAAGTTTACAGACAGAGGGACGGTCAGACAAAATGTGATCAGAAAAGCTCACTTGAACTTCCAGTTTAGGTGATCTAAAAATGTCAACCCCAACACCAATTATATCGGTACATGATTGCATATAAGAATAGCGCAAAAAATAATTTCCAAATAATCATTACTACTGAACAAAAAAGAACTAATACATGCCATTGCATTCTATATCTCCAATATATATTACAAGAAAAAAGAATAGGCTGATTTATCAGATATCTCAAGAATAACGGTATCTTGACATATCATAGTGATGTACATCAATCCTGGACACAATTTTCTGATCAAAAGTTTTCTCCCTACTGTATTGCGAGTAATGCTGTCTGTCTCCCTTAATGCGTGTGTGTGTTTATCAATCTCTCTTTCCTTTCTCAGGTACATATATTCCTCAAAACAATATACTGACGACAATATATGCCGACCTTTACTGTACTTATTGTCGCCGGCGACAATATGTGCTGGTGCTTGACTGTACATTTTATCGTCTATTGTGCAGGAAGAAAATAAGGTTCGTCTCGGTACATATTGTTGCCGGAGACAATATGTACCGATGAACAACAATATGTGCAGTGAGGGAAGGTACATATTGTCGCCGACGACAATATATACAAAACGACAATATGTACCGTCACATGTGATTACACGTTTTACGCTATAAACTAAAGTCGTGTAATATTGCGATAGACTTTGCTTGCTTTACATGGCAGATGAATTTGTTAAAACTTTGCAATACTCGTATACTCGTATATTTTATAAATCTTTCGATTTATGATACAAATTTCATATAGAAATATATGATTCTCAATCATTAATTATATATCTTATTTTGCAAACCAATGTGATTAAGGTAAATATTTCCACTCTTGTTCTTTGATACTTAAGTTTTCTGTATGAGAAAAGCACTTTAATCAATTGCGTAAGTATTATGTATCATGATGAAAAGCAAAAATCGCTTCAAAATAGTCATAAAAGTGATCATCATAATAGTAAACAATAAATATACTGTGAAATCACTTATTTTCGTTTTCATATATATATATATATATATATATATATATATATATATATATATATATATATATATATATATATATATATATATATATATATATATATACTCATTCATTCTTTATTCACTAAAGTAAATCTCCACTTCCCATTTTTTCCTCAAACCATGAAAATTTGACCCCAAGAAAATATGTGATTTTACAGTATTTCACGTCGATACACTGATAGATTATAATGATAAAAAAATTCTACCTTTCAGACAACAAATGTTATATATACAATTCAACAAAACTGACTTGGAAAGCGGCCAATGAAAGTTGTTCCTCTGATGGGGGTTCGTTGTTGACAATCCAAAACCAACTTGAACAAGGTACTTTTGATATTTGTTTCTTATCCCGCAATACAAGTATCCAGATTTATCTACGAGAAATCGCTATTGAAGTTTAAATTTGAATTAATTTTGGTAGATTTTATCGTAAGTTTGATGGATTCAGCGTTAAGTGATGTATGGATTGGACTTAATAGACGTTATAGAGAAACTTTCATGTACAAAGACAATGTATCAATGGTGTATGCTAACTGGAAGACAGACCAACCGAGCAATCCTCATTATAAAAAATACGGTGCGTCACAGGTAATAAATATGCTTTGTAACACAGATTCCATATATTATTTTGAATTGGGATTACATCCCCCTTTTGTTTGTCTCCTTTTGCATGTAAAAGCAAAACAAACTTCAACATTAAAATATGATTTGATATTTGTACAGCAAGATTGTGTTCAGATGAATCACTTAGACGACAATACAGGAATAGGAAGATGGCATACAAAGGATTGTTATTATCTAAAAGCATCATTCATTTGTGAAAAACCAAAAGGTAAAAAATACATTTTAAAAACTCCAGATTTAAACTACGTCATGTAAATGTAGGATTTTATACATATAGTTTGGAGACAATAAAATACGCTTTGTTCGTCAGTCCATCTGTTCTTCTGTCCGTCCTTTCCGCTGCTGTAAATATTATACTTAAATTTTATATTTCTGTTCTTTGTTGTTTTAAATCTCATTTCGTTGAAATTATACAAATCTTTTTCAAAGTATTGCACTAATTACAGTTTTCTTCATTGAAAATCTTTCATAAGGAAATATTGCTTCGACTGGAAAAAACTTTTTAAAAAACTATGCATGTCCATCAAAACTTTCCATATCAACAATTTTTATCTGTTAAAGTTTATTTATTTATTCAATTTTAGCAAAAAAGTACAGTCAATTCAAACAAGAAATGTGACCAGTTCAAGTGTAACTATTTTTGGGGTTGTCAGCTTAAACAAGTAGAACTACATATACATTGCTGTTAGATATTTCCGCTTATATGATGCATATTAAAACGCAGCTAGGTTAAGGACGCCCATGAAATATACGCCTTTAATATATTCAGGGAAAATGAATACAAATTTAATATTTCTTTTAACAGTATTAGTTTTGATAAATGTGAGTTGTGGTGTTTGCACTTGTATATATCGGGTCTCTGCTGAGTTCGGCCCAAGCGACATCGCTTACATCAGCTGTTTGTCACGTGACAGTTTTAAAATTAGAACATATAGGTACTACTACAAAGATCGTAAAAGTTCAACGATATACGGGCATTTTTCCGCTATAAAATTTATTCTGTTTTCTTTGAGACCAATTCCTTAACACGAAAATGCTGGGAGCAACTTCCTCATGCTCGGGAATTGTTTAAAATTTAGCCGTCTTTCTCTAAACTCCAGTCAAAAATGTAATTCGCATTGAATAATGTTACATTACGGAATAAATCAACAATGCACAACCAGCTCCCAGCACTTTTCAGAATAGTAGGAATAATAGCTACACGTGTTTAAAAATTCAGAATTTATAGTGAAGCGGATATTGTTGAACTTTTGATATTTTGGAGGGGCTGGACCTGTCATTCTAGCACGTTACTGTACAAATGTGCTCCCTACAGCTTTATATATAATCTACACATTATCAATTTAGTTTGACAATAAAATGTGGATTAATATATTTCAGAATATTTCTCTCTTTTGGTCCGACTACGCGTGTTTCATATTTATTTTTATTTTTACAAGCTACGATAAAAGCTTGATCCACGCCTCAAGTACAGAGAAACTGCGTGTCAAACTAAGAAATGACGTCATCTCAGTAAGTACTGCGAGATCAAGCTGGCTTTCATTCTACATATGCTAAGTGCTATTATGGCAAGATAAGTTGCACATCCATTTATCTTTATAATATTTATGATAAACGAAAGTATTTAGTGTGTTATAAAAAGAACATATAGTATTTATTCATCGAGATTCATTTGTATTGTTTTAACGTGACGTCATAATAGCTTTACCGAACCTCTGCATAGGCTGACTTATATATGGGAGTCCTTAACCTAGCTGCGAAATTAGCAATTTAATAACAATTAAATTTACTGTTTATTTCCTTCTATGTACGAGCATTGTACTTTCTATCAACGTCACAAAATTGCTTGTGTATACCTAAATAATTTAATTCTGGTTGTAACGCTGTATTTGATTGGATAAAAAATTTACTTTATATCGTATAAAATGGGTTGCTTACGTCACAATGACTTGCGTCAAAAACGTATCGATCCGCCTGACGTTACATTCAAATTTTGAACAAATTGTAGTCATTTTTTAAGGACAATCATCTTTTTTTCTAACATCAAATGAATGAAAATTAAATTATAAGGAATGAATTTAATAGCTACCCAATTTATACGGTATAAACTGGGTTGGAACAGTTTACGCTTTTTTATAAACCGCTTCGCGGTTTATAAAGCGTAAACTGCCCCAACCCAGTTTATACCGTATAAAATGGGTAGCTATTAAATTCATTCCTTAAATAATTAGCGTAGTTAAACCATGTATATCTAGTTTTGCGATGATGATGAAGAAAATTACCTATGATGATTCTTTAATTCGAAATATTATGGTTTAAGAATAAACGAAATCTACCTACCTTCATTGTTTTTACTACTGGGCGTTTAGCTTGCAGGCTATAAGCATAAAAATAATCCATTTAACAAAATTCTGAATTTTTAGGGTGGAGCTACGTTGGTCATATACTAGTATTGAAACAAGAATAAAATCAGCTATATTTTCTACGATCATTGTTTCAACTGGAGGGGAAAATTAAAATAAAATAAAAGCATTCTGAGAGTATTGCATTAGCAATACTAGTCCCCTACCGGCAAGTGTAATCTGGTTCCCGTTAAAAATTGAAAATGCTATAATTCCGTCAAAAATCATTGAAGCGGAACGAAATGCAAACATAATCTATAACTTATCAAGGTAAGGTCACATACCAAAAATCAGCTCAATATCTTCAAGCGTTTAGAAAAAAATTACGGAAAACCCTTAACAATTGAAAAGGTCCTAATTCCGTCAAAAATCAATGAATCGTAATGAAATGCAAAACTTGATCTGTAACTCTTCAAGATACACTCACATACCAAAAATCAGCTAAATATCTGCAAGCGTTTAGAAAAAAAGTGTGGAAAACCAAGTGGGACAGACATACAGAGGGACAGACTGACTGACAGACAGACAGACAGACGGACGGACGGACAGACTCAGAGGAAACCTATAGTCCCCTCCGGTTTCACCGGTAGGGGACTAAATATATCTTAAGAAATCTTTACTCATGGACATCTAGCATCTAAACGAGAGTACTTAACTTTTACCAAAATCGTGAAAATCATGGCCTCTGGGTCCATGATTCGGACCTCAGGGTGCGGCTTAGTTGATAATATATACCTGTTTGGAGGATTATAATGAGCTATGAGTCCTGTGCCAAAATTTTAAAAATGTATGCCCCCCGTATCCAGCGTCCAGGACACAACATGGTCTAATTTAAAGTTGGTCATGTATTAAAAATACTTTACACTTTTGAACATTTTCCTTTTTACTCGGACATCTAGCAGTTAAACTGTTTACATTATTACAATTAACACTTACTGGTAACCAACATTCTAAAAATGCATGCCTTCCACTTTGGCCCATGGATTAGACTCCAGTGTGAATCATTAATGAAAATACATTGATTTTTGAAAATCGGCTTTATTTATGGACATCTGGAAGGCCTGATTATGATGAGCAGCTAGACCTATCCAACAATTCTGAAATTCATATCCCCTAGGTTCAAAGATGATGCCCAAGTTGGTAGTATATTAAAGCTGAACATGACTCGTAAATAGGCATACGCCATTTTCGATAATACTATCTACGATATCAGCACTGGGGTATACCCTTCGCATTCGTTACACCTGACTGCTTTATTGTCACGGGTATCGACGTGGAATGGCGACCCGTGTTCGTGCTGGTTGTCTCGCGTTACTTCTGTTTACATTTTATTGCATGCAGTTACGTGTATTTGTGTTTGTTTGTATACTGCACTGACCTGTGCAACTGCAACTGTTGTGAGTTTCTTTGGTATCTTACTCTCCTGCATTGGAAGAAGGGCACAGTCACTTTTTGTCGCTACCCAATGCTGTATAGCATACGTCCGTCTACACAGGTGACGATTGATTACACTGAACAGTGACTAAGTGAGCGGCTTTATATAGGGGCCCTCAGTTATAGCGAGAGACCAATCGAATATGGCGGACAAATTCCTTTTACGAATCGTGTTCAGCTTTCAAATTGATTATACAGTGAATCTATGTTAACTCACTTCTTAAAGCCAAACTACATGATCAGATAATTATTGCATGTTCTCTCCAAAATGTGATATTTTTATCACATGAGGCCAAAGTTCCAGTTTCGGGGGGGGGGGGGGGGGGCTAAAATGTTTATTGTGTCATAGTCTGAGAAAACTTTTGGAACTCATGTGAACGCCAAGGCCACTGTCTGTGGTTTTCATTTAATATCTCTAAATACATTCAATTAAGTTATTCTGCGTTTATTGTCAAAAATTGGACACACTAGTGGACAAAAAAATCCATTTTGATTTTAACATTTTTTTTTAATTTCTTCAGATACGTCAATAGAAACCAAACCTCTCCCATCTGAATGCCCTCCAATGTTTGAGCAATACTTAAAAAGCTGCTTTAGATTTGAAGTTGGTCCAGTTGACCAAAGCAAGGCCCAGAATATATGTGAACAAAGAAAAGGAAATCTAGCGTCAATTACATCTGCATACAAATACGGATTTACTCGTGCAATTGCTGCAAAGCAAAATTTTACTGTGTATTGGATAGGACTCGAAAAAACAAAGGTCAGTATAGGGTGCATTTACGTATTTCTTTTATAATTAGCAACACTCTTATTGACTGGATATCTTGATTAAGTTAATTGCCTGTCTATCCGCTTTAAAACATTCAATTAAAAACAACTGCGAATGCATCTATCTATCTATGTATATGTATATATATATATATATATATATATATATATATATAAGAAATAAGGTATCATTTTTAAACATCTATCGGGATATAAATACGGGTTGGTCACGAGATCAAATTCCATAAAGCCCGAAGGGCTTTATGGTAAATTTGATCTCGTACCAACCCGTATTTATAGCCAGATAGATGTTTAAAAATGATACCTTATTACTTATATTTACATTTGTGACTTATTCATATTTTATATTTGCCTGATTATAATCTTTAACGCGTGAAACGTTTTATTTTTCAAACCCAACGGCACGTGTTTGATCCTCTGATTGCGCGTCGACCTTTTATGACGTCACTGAGAAATTACGTCGAACGTTTATGACGCGAGGAACCCGTGTTTATACGGATATAGATACGCATTGCTTTCAATAGTGTTATATAAAAGAAAACATTTGCAAATGTAAATATATATATATATATATATATATATATATATATATATATATATATATATATATATATATATATATATATATATATATATATATATATATATATATATATATAAAGCACATTTTACAACAACTCGTAAACTAATATAATTGTCCTAAGTGAAGAAATATTAATGTAGAAAGCACAAGGAAATTTACTTTTTTTAAGGATACCCACTTCCGCCCCAGCCCGGGGTTGAACTCTCGACCTACGGAATCTAGTAGTACAGGAACAGCGCGCTAGACCAATCGGCTATCTAGGCAAGTCACAAAACTTGCTTTCGATGCCGATAAAAGCACAGAGAAATTCACTTTATAAGGATCCGCCCCAACCCGTGGTTGAACTCTCGAGCTACGGAATCTGTCTCATAGCAGTACAGGAATAGCGCGCTAGAGGTCGCACCGCCATCTAGGCTTTCGATGCCGATTAATCCTCGCGGCACCGCCCTTCACTACACGATCATTGAGAATGGAAGTGAGATACAGTTATTTGGACATTAGTTTTTATTAGAGGATCGTTATCGATACCCATTGCAATGAAATTAATTTTATTTTTAAAGCACATTTAATTTACAATTTTATACAAAAAATAATGTTACGTATCATTTTTAAACATCTATCGGGATATAAATACGGGTTGGTCACGAGATCAAATTCCATAAAGTCCGAAGGGCTTTATGGTAAATTTGATCTCGTACCAACCCGTATTTATATCCCGATAGATGTTTAAAATGATACATTATTACTTATATTTACATTTATGACTTATTTATAGTTTATTTTTTCCTGATTATAATTTTTAGCGTGTGAAATGTTTTATTTTTCAAACTCAACGGCACGTATTTGATCCATTGATTGAGCGACAATCCTTTATGACGTCACTGAGAAATTACGTCAAACGTTTATGACGCGAGGAACCCGTGTTTATACGGATATAGATACGCGTTGCTTTTAATAGTGTTATATGAAAGAAAACATTTGCAAATGTAAGTATATATATACACGATACAGTTCAAATGTTATGTACACCTGAAGACGGATTATGAAATCCAGAAAGCGCTTGTGTTGAATGAAATTGGAAACTGTGCATCTTTTACGATTATTTTTACTGTGTGACATCATCTTTGAGGTACTTTTGAATTTCATATATATATATATATATATATATATATATATATATATATATATATATATATATATATATATATATATATATATATATATATATATATATTGAATATCACAGGATGCAGCTTTGTATAGATGGAATGATGGAACACCGTACCAATTCAGCCATTGGAACGATTCAGAGCCATCCCAAGGACCAGAAGAAGAATGCATTGTATCAAGAGATGGAGACTGGATGGATGTGCCATGCGCAGAAAAGCACTCTTATCTCTGTGAAATAAATTTTGGTTGGTGCACGTGCTTTAAAAATCAAAATTTCACAAAATAAAAATTTTGGAGCTTTTTTATTAAAAATACAAATCTCTTAAATCCAAAGTCATGAAGTAGGATGTATAAAAAAAAAATAACGATTTTTCATGAATGGCTTAATTATTGTGATATAAAAAGCAGATGTAAATAAATTAAATTGGCAGACGTCTTGAAATAAAAGCAAACCAAATTTATCATATTGCTTAATGATTTTACAAAACAATTAAGTTAATTTAACTTAAGGAATTTTTTCTCCTGACCAGAAAAAAAGAAAAGTATACGGCCTGCGCCCTCATGTATGCCCACGGGAATAGCTTATGACGGTGCGTGTTATTTCATAGAAAGAAAGGATAGAAGTTCCTGGAAGGATGCTCTCCAGAAATGCAGAAAATATGGAATGGATTTAGTTTCAATCCATACAGTGGCTGAGTTAGAGGTAGTTCGGGAATTTATAGTAAGAAGAGCAAAGGAAAACGTTTGGATTGGGTTCACTAATGCAAGGAAAGAATCAGATCTATTTCAAAGTGGTTAGTACAAAATATCATAGGTTCATTTTAGAGAAAATGTTTTGGTTTGCATATATTATTTTGTTGCCACTGTACACAGGGTTACTTTTGCTGTTTTATTTTTACCCTGTCATATTTTAAAAGAATTTGTACAGTTTTTAAATTCAGTTGTGTTATACAGTTAGAATGTTTTCAGTTAGGAACGATAACTTATAAAATGATTATTTAAAAAGTCTCAAGACGAAGCTTGAAATTGGAATATTTTTGTGCAACAGTTTTCATTTCATGCATCTCACTATGATTCAAAGTTCTTTGAAGTCTTAGAAACGGTGTTTTAAAAAGTTTAAATTTGTACCCAACAACAATACAATTTTAAAGAAATCCAATTTCCTTTAATTTAGCCTTAGATACCAATGCTTATTAGCATGATGTAAAATTAGAAGTAATCATTGATTTTTGCAATGATAGTACATGCTTTTCACACTGTGTATTACATAGCAATTAAATAGAATTATAATGAACAAAGATAGAACAAAATAAAAGGATTAACAAAAGGCTTAAAGAAATCAATTATCAAACAATTATTGAGCGAATGGTGACATTTTAGCGGCATGTATATAATAAAATTAAAGAAGATGAAAGATTAAGTGTCAATTAATATCAACAGAAGTCCCAGGAGATTAACTGTCCATCTCTGACTGTGCCTTAGGTAGGATTAAGGGAATTAATAGAATTTATCATATTTGCCGAAATATACGAAACATTTTTATATAACAATTTACACAAAGTCCGAAAAGTTAACTTACACAATAATTTTGATCGTATTTTACACCGTAACAATCAGACTACCTTAAAGAGTTAACACTGACTTCTTAGAACTCGCTCCGTTTTAAACTTGTCCACTTCTGAAAGGGGCGAATATAAAACGGGACGAAAATTTCCCTTTAACAGTTTTTATACATTTCTCAAGTATGAAATTGTCAGCAAGTTCCACAAATATCGAATTTAGAAAAAAAAAAAGTTATTCTCCTTGGTTGAATGCCTACAAATTCTTTGTATTTTTAAGACAAAACGTATTCAGACAACCTAAGTCGATCATACACTTAAAAATGTATTAACATTCAGTGAAAAGATATATTGGTTTGTTACAGGGGCTTATTGGTACTGGTCCGATGGAGAGGATGCCAACTTTACAAACTGGCGAATAAATGAACCCAATGCAGGAATTCTATCAAATGAGGAAGAATGCGCAGAAATGGATCAAAAAGGACTCTGGAATGATCTCCTGTGTTCACATAAAAAAGCCTTTATGTGTAAACATAATGGTAAAGAACTTACACTAATAAAATCCAGCACAGCATCCTCCAAGTTATATATACATGTATATATATATAGACTTAAGAGAGAGAGAGAGAGAGAGAGAGAGAGAGATCGCGCAAAAAGCAAACAAATTCAGTCTAGAGGTCAAATTGAAACTTGTAGAGATTTAAATGCACTGCTGTTTATTCAAATTAACTGAAAAAAATTTTCAACTTACATTAAGAATATTTAACACAAGGTTTATGAAGCATGGGTATGACGATTATATTGAATAATGTGGAAAAATTGTATGATAAAATAATGTAAGAATATTTTAACGTTTACAGAACTTTGGTTGTTTCAAAGTGTCAATGAATCTTCCGTGATATTTCATATATATATATATATATATATATATATATATATATATAATCATAAAAGAAAAAGAAAATGCACCGTTTCCAAATTTCATTCAACACAAGCGCTATCTGGATTTCATAATCCATTATTATTATGAAATCCAGAAAGCGCTTGTTTTGAATGATATTTGGAAACTGTGCATTTTCTTTTTCTTTTATGGTTATTTTTACTGTATGACATCACCTTTTAACTACTTTTGAATTATACATAAAAATATAAACATTTATTTATTTTTGCCATTCAGGATCTAAGATAGATTTAAAAACGGAAGTCAGAATATCAACCGAGGTACCAACAAGAAGATTTACTCAAAATACACTTCATTCCCGCAGCAATGCAGGTAGTAAATGTAGAACATTTCCAATTCACCTGAAACTCAGCTACTTGTATTCTCAAATGATCTGGTCCAATGATTAATGCTAGAAGCTGTTCAAGGCTTGTGATGTGTACTTTTCCCAACTTTACCCCCCCCCCCCCTTGAAACAACGAAAGCTTTCATATAAATTTGTTAAATAGCAATTCATAAGTCCTGTTTTAAAAATATTGTCCGTTTTCCATTGATTTCTATTAAGTTTTTTTTTTACCAAAATTAAAGAGTTATATCTCATTTTACCCCAAATAAGTTATGTTTTATGATAATATATAAATATGAAAAATCATTCAAATAAAATTATCATGTTAACTTTTGAGAATTGCCTTGGAGGTAGGCGGCAGAACGATACCATTGCAATTCTTAAACACCACAGATTCTTTGTTTTTATCCCCCGCCTTCGTACAACTGAGGGGGTATTTTAAAAAACTCATTCGTCTGTTCATCTGTCCATCTGTCAGCCTGTCTGTCACAAAAACTTTAACCTTGGTCATAACTTTTGAATGAGTAAAGATAGGGCTTTCATATTTCACATGCACAATACCTGTGACCAGACCTTTCCAAATATACTTTGATTTTTGACCCTGTGATCATGACCTTGAAGTTTGACCTACTTTTCAAAAATTTTAATATTACTTTAACCTTGGTGACAACTTTTGATTGAGAAGAGAGAGTGCTTTAATATATTTCACCTGTACATTACCTGTGACAAAATCTTACCAACTGTACCATGATTTTTGACCCCGTGACCTTGACCTTGAAGTTTGACCTACTTTCCAAAAAAATTAACATTGGTTATCAATTTTGAAGGAGAGAAAATAGAGCATTCACATTTGAAATGTGCATTTCCTGTGACAAGATGTTTCCGAATATACTTTGATATTTGACCCCTTGACCTTGAAGTTTGACCTAATTTTCGAAAAATTTCACATTGATTACACATTTGAATGACAGAAGATAGGGCGTTCATATTTGACATGTGCATTACCTGTATCAAGAAGTTTCCAAATGTGCTATGAATTTTGACCCCGTAACCTTAACCTTCAAGTTTGACATAATTTTTAAAAAAAATTATCATTGCTGCTAACTTTTGAAGGAGAAAAGATAGGGCATTCATATTTGACTTTTGAGTTATCTGTGACAGGACCTTTCCAAGTGTACTATGATTTTTATCCCCATGATCTTGACCTTGAAGTTTGACATACTTTTCTAAAATTTTAACAGTGCTGACAACATTTGAATGAGAGAAGATACAGCATTTAAACGGCATGTGCATTACCTGTTTCAAACCTTTTCAAATGTACTTTGCTTGTTCACCTCGTGACCTTGACCACCTTTAAGTTTAACCTACATTTTTTTTCATTTTTTTTTCACATTGGTAAGAACTTTTGAATGAGAGAAGTTAGGGCTTTCATATTTTACATGTACATTACTTATGATAACACCTTTCAGATAGGTATTATATCAATTTTTGACTTTATGACCTTGATCTATAAGTTTGAAGGACACACAAACAAGACAGTTATGGCATAAATATAGACAAATATGGCATAAAATCTTTGCATCCAAACCACTAAGACATCGAAAGCGGGGGACCACAATTCTTTGAATTTGCTTGCCATTCCTTATTTTGTAGAAAATGGGTTTAAAAAGGGATTTTTTACTACGAAAATTCTAAGTGAAAAGTTTATTTTCAGCTTTTCGTTTATATGAAATACGAAGATAACAAACAGTATTCAATCTCGAAAGTCCAATGAAACGATACAAATTTGGAGCAGAGCAAACAAGGACCTTGAAATTTAGAGGTGGTACCAGGTGCCATGGAGAAGTGAGCATCCCCTGCCGACCGGTCACACCCGCCGTGTGCTCCTTGTTATGATCGGGAAACAAAAACCGGAAAAATCCGTAGACAGTTCAGTGTATAAATAATGGCCTAACAATCAGTATGAAAAACTTCAGTCAGCATTTGACTCAATGACAGGTTGTATGTGCTGACAAGGTCATTGTATCGACCGAAAAACTTGCGAAAAGATGACTTCAAACGAGAGTGTTGAAATCCTTGTTTCGTCAACTTGTTTGTCAATAACGTACCTCGTTTTAGAAATTGTTCATACGTAGAGCATGCTTTTGCGTATCGAATCAACTGAGAGACATAAACCCCATATGCAGGTGAAAGGGGTATCTTGCTACATAAGGGGAAGTTGACGATTGAAAAGTTGAGTCATCACATTGATCATAAAGCTTAGTTGTTAGGTTACCATTTACGTCCTTTTCTAGTAAAATATCTAAATATGAAACAGATGTGTCAGAATCTGTGGTATCTTTTATTTCAAGCTCACTAGGATATATCGAGTCGACATATGAATGAAAGTAACTATTGTTCATTGATAATACTATTTATATTTTTCTGTAGCTCGTTCAAACATTCCCTAGGTCTGTACCAGTTTTTCCAGGTGCGAAATTTTATAGAATGTTGGAAAAAGAAACCCTCCCCTCTTTTGACGTCATTTTCAAGCCCTTAATTGTTTGGACACTCAATATAAAATTTACGATAAATTTCATAGAATTTACAAAATAGGGTAAAAATTGCAAATTTTACGGAACAACTGGTGTTGTACCAAATGCCTGAATTTACGGGATTTTTCGATGACAAATGCTCATATCACAAGAGTTTATTTCAGTTACACCCACGTAGAAAAACGTCATATTTGAGATTGCGCCGCCTGGACATACCATTGCTTACAAAACATTAACAATTTATTAAAAAATAAACCTTCTGATTTATGTTTTTTTTCTATAGTTAGAAAAGATGATGCTAACTAAATGTGTAAAAATTCATTGATGTACCTGAAGCGGTTTTAATTTTATGGCGCTAGTCCACGAACATTATGATAACCCCTCGTATTTCCTACTTTGAAATATAGATGTATAATGATAAATTTTTAAATTAAATAATATTGATGTATTTTGATAAATTTAACTGGAGAATTGCTATAAAGATCAAATTTCATGGAAAAACATTTCAATCGTTCAGGACTCAGTCACGCCTTACTGGATAGCGCTAAAAGATGTCAAAACGGCGGTAAATTAACGCAGTTGGTAAAACGTTAATGAAAAAAATCCCTTGCAGCTTTCCGAGGCTCTTATGATCAACGTATGAAGCGTATAAACGGATTAACAAACCTGTACCGAATAATAAACAGAACAGACAATAATAGACTTCATCGTTTTAATAACGAATGAACACTGTGTGATACGAATGCGCATGAGAAACTGACGAAACAGTTTTCGAACGTTAGAGTAACTATTGTGCGGTCGGCGTCCAGAGAATCCTTTTTGCCATTTCAAGTCCGTATTTTAAACAGACCTACTCTGAAAGTGAAACGGACAAGAAATGGATTTATGAACGGTTTGAAATTTTTTCCATCCGTTTAAGTCCGTTAGCGTTATCCGATAATGTGTGACTAAACCCTCATATCTGCCTATAATTGAAATACCAATTATTTAACTGGTCTGCTAATCTGACCCTGTAAATTTTCATTTATCTTTTGTAGAATCAACAACACCGGTTGGTGTAATAGTAGGTGTAGTGATAGGCCTATTGGCGGTTCTCGTGCTCGTATTAGCTGTTGTGTTTATTTTGTACAGAAGACGCCACAGACCTTTTTTCAGACAGCACATCGGGTTTTCAAATGCTTTGTTCCAAAGTGCTCATGAAAACTATTAACGAATTAATTTCAAAATACTCACCGTAATGCTGGATACAGTCAGGGACCTATATACTAACTAGTATATAGGTCCCTGATACATTGTTTTTTTCTTTGTTTCATGTTGTTGCAATATTTTTATACACAAGAATCTATATCAAATTATTAATTTACATCCAAACTGATATTTATACAAGTATTTTAAATTAAATGTTTAATATATTTAAAAATTTTAATATCAGTTATTAATTTGAAGAAAATTTCTATGAGTAAATATAGAAATACTTATAACTATTCATTCAGATTGTTTTATGTAAACAATTGTTCCAGACACAGAATTATTTTAATATGTATATAGAATTAATAAAACTAAAAACTGTACATGTACCTTATTATAAAGCTGCTTTCATATGATGGATGTATTTGATTAAATAAACTATGCAACTGATCATCTTTGTTTAGTGTCAATTCCCTGCTATTGATACACTATATAGAGTGTGTGTGACGGTACATATTGTCGTTTTTGTACATATTGTCGTCGGCGACAATATATACCTACCCTCACTGCAAATATTGTCGTCCATCGGTACATAGTTTCGCCGGCGACAATATGTACCGAGACGAGCCTTATTTTCCTCCTGCATAATGGACGACAAAATGTACAGTCAAGCACCAGTACATATTGTCGTCGGCGACAATATGTACAGTCAAGGTCGGCATATATTGTCGTCGATATATTGTTTTGGCGAATATTTACTAGAGAAAAGAAAGAGAGATTGACAAACACACGCACAGAGGGAGACAGACAGCGTTACTCGCAATACTGTAGAGAGAAAACTTTTTGGTCAGAAAATTGTGTCCAGAATTGATGTACATCACTATGATATCAAGATACCGTAATTCTTGAGATATCCGATAAATCACCTATTCTTTTTTTCTTGTAATATATACTTGGAGATTGAATACAGGTATTTTTTTTTGGTTCAGTAGTTTTGATTATTTGGAAATTATTTTTTGCGTTATTCTTATATACGATCATGTGCCGATATAATATTATAAATATAATTTATTGTTAATAATAATATATGAATAACGCGAGAAATAACATTTTTAGATCACCTGAACTGGAAGTTCAAGTGGGCTTTACTGATAACATATTGTCTGACCGTCCGTCTGTCTGTAAACTATTCATAATTTCAGCTTCTTCTCAAGAACTACTGGGTCAATTTCAACCAAACTTGCCACACTTGCATCCGTGGACAAAGGGGATTCAAATTTGTTCAAATGAAGGGTCAGGCCCTCTTTCAGGGGAACTAGTTAAGAATAAGTGAAAATTTAGTGACCTTTAAAAATCTTCTCAACAACCACTATGTAAGAAAAGTGGAAACTTGTGTGAAAGCTTCATTATAAAGTGTAGATTAAGTTTTATTCAGATCATGTCTCTCGGGGGATAGGTGTGACTACGATATATGATCTAAGTTTTTCATAAAATATTTAGAAAAAAAAAAAAAAAAAAATCTTTTCAAGAACTATTGGGTCAGAAGAGATGATACTTATGTGAAAGATTCATAGGGTACGTTCAATTTTGAGGTGCTGGCACAAAAAAGATCCCTCACTGCTCAATGATCCTGAGTGCCATGTATAGGTCTAAATTTGCAGCCCTCCACCGGTAAGTGGTGACGTCTCAATATGAATGAAAAAATCTCGAGAGGGACGTTTTAACAACAAACAAACAAAAAAAATCAATTTTCTTCAAATCATGACCCCAGGGGTAATGTGGGGCCACAATAGGTGATCAAAGTTTTACATAGGGATATATAATATACAGAAAATCTTTAAAAATCTTCTCAAACACCAAAGACAGATGTAGCACTCCCCCCCCCTCGCTTGGTGTTTGTTTTTGTTTTGTTTTGGGTTTTTTTTTTTTGTTGTTTTTTTTTTTTTGCTTTGGTAAATTCTGTTTGTTTAACTTGTATATACTTAGTTCACAGGTAAAATTTCATAATTAAATAATTAACTTAATATATACAATAACACTGATGGAAATGAGGGAAGGTACACATTGTCGCCGGCGACAATATGAACAGGACGACAAAATGTACCGTCACAATCACGCTGCATGAAATAGCATACGAGACACGTCAGTGTGATTCTCACACCAATTACATTCACAAAACTACCAAAAATCAAGAAAAGACATCTTTAAACAACAATATCTCTGGTGCGACAATATGTACAGTGAGGGTGAGGCACATAATGTCGCCAGCGCCATGTACATATGTAACTTTTCAGTCGGCGACAAAATGTACCGATGGACGACAATATGTGCAGTGAGGGTAGGTACATATTGTCGCCGACGACAATATGTACAAAATGACAATATGTACCGTCACAGGTACAGGTGGCAGAGGATAGTTTTTTTTAATGCCAAACATGTGCCGAGGGGGTACACATATACATGCGATCCATAAAAACATGTACATGGGGACAGTTTTCCAGGGGCTAATTAATTACACTTCATATGCCCATGGCTCACAAATTATGTCAACAAATTACATGTAATCTGTGTATTAGAGTGCACATGTACCAAAAATGCACCTGGGGACTCCCCAAATTTTGGCTTGTTTTTCCAAGATTTGGGCCTCATTCATACCCATACAACCCACCCCCAGGCCCGAGCGAGCAGGATAAAACACCCAGTAGTCTGTAAATCAATGCAAGCCCTAATAAAAATTCACCAATTGATATGGGGTCATTCACCTTCCCTCTGAGATACACACCTTCTTCTAAGGCCTACTGCATTTCAGCTGAATTTCCTCTGCAACTGACCACGTGTCTTAGTTTCGCATTTACAACTCTGTATATGATAAGAGTCATAGTGACACCTACATGTTGCACATCATTTTTTTTCAGCAAGCACTCTGCTACACTGCAAATGTGTCCCATAATTATTCTAATCATTTTTCTACATAAAATATCACATCAAACAGGGGATATCTCAATTTTTTAAGAAATTTGACCGGGTCTTTAGTACGAAACTATCCCCTGCCACCTACATATTGTCGCCGACGACAATATGTACAAAACGACAATATGTACCGTCACAGTGTGTCAGTGACAGAATGACCGTGTATACTGTTTACAATAATTATGCGATGATAAGCAGCACTATGTGTAAAACACACAAAGCAGAACAAACACTAGCTGAACTAATCAGGCCACCGGCCATCCCTGAACTGTAAATTGCGCAGAGTTCAAAAATCGATACTTATTGTTTTATTTGTACAAGAAATACAGTGTGATGTGATTTATTTTCTTATTTTCACAATACTGAGTAAATATATGTAATCAAATAGTTAAAAAAAACAAAAAACAAAAAACAACAACAACAACAACAACGCTTAATGTGGCCTACATGCATGTATTACTGTAATTTTGTTCAGCGTTAAATTTTCCTGCAACCTTAATCATCCTACAGGCTGGTATTACACCGCATAAAATTCGGCAAATGTTTATATATATATCATTTATATAAGGATACTTATTTCCAAAAATAAGACATAGAATGGTTCTGATGGCCTCAGACAAGGAAGTTAGTATTTATAATGTTTCCAAATGCAGGATTCCGTTGTTTTAAATGCAGTGGACTGTGTAGAATTCAAAACAAAATAAATAAATTTAAAAAAAATTTAAAAAATAAAAAAAACATCTAGCTTGTAAGTAATGTATTAATGCTAGAAAAAAAATAATATGCGATGCAGAGAGAAAATTACAATTATAATTTATTTTTTTAAGTTGATAGTTTATCCAGAGGATGTTTGAATAGAATTACAAATGTACGATTTGTAAGGCTGTAATTTTCACATTACTGGCATTTTAAAATTAAGATAAAATATATAGAGATTTGCATTCCTACATAAGAGATATGAAGTAACTATTCTTAATTAAAATCTTAAGGTGGGGTTTTTGTCTAGTTTCTGACTAAATATTCAAAGTATGTTGGCTACATTATCTTTTATATTTAGATGTTAAATATTTAAAAAAAAAAAAAAAAAAAAATTACGTCGCGGGTTCGAATCCCACTGTGGGACGTGGAGACCGGTCCTTCGGATGAGACCGTATAAACCGAGGTCCCGTGTCGCAGTAGGTGCTGGCACGAAAAAGATCCCTCACTGCTCAATAGCCCTAAATTCCGAGCATAGGCCAAAATTTGCAGCTCTCCACCGGCAAAGTGGTGGCGTCTCCATATGAGTGAAAAATTCTCGAGAGGGACGTAAAAATAACAAACAAACAAACAAACAAAACAATTTTAAATAGGAATAGTAAACCGAGTTTGAAATCTAAGAGGAATTATACTTTTGGCGAAACGGCGGCATATGAAAATATCTAATTTTCCGCTTCTCAGAAAGACAGAATAACAAATTTAGTAAACATTTTTAAACAATCGAAGATGTATAGGAATTTTCTTAAATAACTAAAATTAAATTACTATGGATTTAAGTTTTGTATCAAATAAATACGATTTCCCAAAAAAATACGATCTTTTTAGCTTTTGAAAGCTTCCAATATTAGAACGGTTTATGTATATTTTTTATGCAACAGCTGCAACATTAATTACGTACTCGTACGTGCTCGTACCATACTAACAACCAAAGAAAGCATTTTATCATTTGATTGAACATAAGAACTACATGGTGCAAACTACACAGGGAACAATTTGCGAATTCTGAGATGGAGGACAAGGTAAAGAACCACACACTGTTTGAACTGGATAAAACAATCTGCCATCGTTATTGGATTGTCGGGCACCGTCTGTCATATATTCAGGGTTCTCGTCAAAACACAGAAAATCAGAGGCAAAAATGTTCGCGATAATCTGACATTAGAAAACCCCCAAACTGCTTTGTCCAAGTTGGTGGACAAGAAGACTTTGCTGGAATCATGATTGAAGTTGAAGCATGTGTAGAAACACAAACCGCACAAGGAACGTCACCGTTGCTGGCGATACCTTTGTAGTAAAACTCGTACTCAGATCCATATATGTAACTATAGCCATTCACAGGAACACCAGTTGGTGATGGATCGGGATAATGTGATAAACACAATGTATTTACTCCCCCTCCTTTCTCAGTGAAACGTTTTCCACCTGCGAAACCTTTGAATAAAACAAACTTCGGAAAATCGGATCTTTCAGGTTTTG